CTCCTCGGCAGACTTCAACCGGCCGATTGACAGGACTCATATATAAACTTTCTTCGGCTGGGAGCAGCACGTTGGATCATTTGCTGGAGCCCGTCCTCTGCCTGCTTATCCTGCGTATCCTGCGTCTGCTGAACGACTTGGGCACGCCCTATACCCACACTAGCCAGAGCTCCATCCACAACAAGCCAAGAGCGCCTGCCGCCTGCGTCGGTGCAGGAGTGATCGAATACCGCGGGGAGCAGGGCCCCAGCCCCAGCTGTTTAAGTTTCATTAGGCAGTCTACGGTAGTTAGATTCGGTTGAGTGGTTGAGCCGGGGTTCTGACTTTGTTGATGGCACTGCTCAACAGCTGACTCTTCCAGTTCGAGTATGAGCTGCTTGGAAGAAGCTAGAGTCCTAGAGAGCCAAAAACAGGCGAGTGAACGTGCATCTCTTCTTGGCTAAGCGCCACTCTCCGAGTTGCCAAGTGCAGAGGTGAGTGCAGGGATGAGTGCAGGGGAAAGCGCATCTCTCTCCCTGGCTGCGGGTGCTGAAAGCTCGTCACCGCATGGGAGGTTTTGTCGCTGCACAGTGCCGCGGTGCATGGCTGGGTGAGTGCACTGACACGTAGCAAGCATTGACATGGCATAGAAGAGCATGCGTAGGAGTTTATTGGTTCGGGTGGTCAGCGTGGACCTGGTGGCAGACAGTCGACAGTGGGTTGGCACATCAGCTTGTGACTCTACAGACTTCGTAACTCCTACTGCACGGATCTGTTCTGCCTGGTCAAGTAGCTTGTTGCACTGAAAGGTTGGGGATCGTCTGAAAGGAAATCTGTGCTCTGTCTGTCCGGCTGTGCAGAATGCGCTGCTGACAGGGCCTGCGTAGCTCGTTGTAGAAGTGGATCCATGTCTTCCCCTGGACTTGGCATGACAGCACAACTGTCATATGCTAGCTTGACAGGTGGATCAGTTGGCATGGTGCTACAAGCCTCACCTCGACCCAGTCATTCAAGCATCCTCGTTGGGGAGACGATGGCATTCGCTGCGCAACAACATTGCGAAGGGTTTGTGCTGCCGATTTTCTTGCTCCTCAGCTTAAGAAAGCCTAGAGCGAACTGCGCGAACCCCCCCTCCCCACAACTGGAGCGCCCACAGCCCCTCTGCTTGGAGAATCGGCCGCGGGAGACTGCGGACTGACGCCGGGTAGACCAAGAGCCACGGGGAAAACGAAGCCAATTTGCATCAGCTTGCATCGGACCAGTGCTTCCTCATGTGCTGTTGCAGTCTTTTGGGCTTGAAAAGCAGCATCCTCACCTTGCCCGGTTCCTCCGCAGAAATGGAGTGGGCTGCTCTGTTCGCTTTCTACACGCTGAACTTGGCAGCTTGGTATGTCGCCGAACAGTCGGCATACTGGCCACTATTGGGGCTGATGCGTTGCTGGGCGGCATTCCTGGGATGGTACACGTGGGATGCTCTGTGGTGTTGGAAGGCTTCCTTTGAGCACCGCCTGGACCGCGGTAAGCATGGCAGTCCATCCAACAAGCGCCGCCCAGATCTCGCTTCCTTTGAGTCCCGCCTGGACTGCGGCAAGATCGGCAGTCCATCCAACCAGCGCCGCCCAGATCTCCACCAAGCTTGGTCAGAGTTGGGGCTTGGCATCTCAACCTCCTCGCTTTCCACTTGCACCTCTGATGGCTCGAGGCCACGTCGGCGGGGCTCTGCAAGTAAGCAGCTTCCAGGCCTTCAAGGCACCTTGGACGATGACGTGGCGACCCACCTCGACTTGGACCACGTCCGGCTGTCCTTTGAGTCCTTCTTATGGGGTCGGATCTATGTCGGATTGGGAGCGTGGGCCAACATGATCTTCGGTGCCAAGGACACGCCTGGGGCGCTGCGCTTTGGAGTGTGGCACTTGCTCCACCGCTTAGGCTGGCCCCGCACTGTGAGGGATCCTCGCCGAACATGTGCGGAACTACTTTTGCAGACAAGTTTGGCAATCTACTTGCAAGAGCTCCGAAGCATTGATGGATGCAAGGGTGCTACAGGTGCTACAGGTGCTACTGCTACGTTCCGGATCCCAGCAGTTCCCCATCTGGTTGAGCCAGGAAGAATGGAGCAGAAGAGCTTGGAGGTAAAGGTAGACCTCAGGAAGAGACGGCTGGTGACTGCTACCTATGGTGACGACAGGCTTCGTCCAGACGAGGCCATGGTCTTGCTGAACATTGCTTGTTCTTTCATGATTCACCCTATGCTTCACGCCTTTGCGAACTGGTCCACCACGCCAGAAAGCCCGAACAAAGAAACCAGACGCAGTTCCATAGCCACCATCCTTTTCAACTACTATGGTATGAATGCCTTCGCACATTGGTGTGACTTCGTCTGTTCACTTGGGATGGGCCAAGTAAGTGGAGAGACTTTCAAGGCCATGGTCAGCTGTGGAATGCGCCAGCATGTGCCACCGCACGACAAGGTGTCGTTGTTGAGTGACCACAGCCGCTTCGTGAGATTTGTCGTGAAGGTCCGCAGGTTTTTCCTGAGCAGATTCAGCCAGTACCAAGCAGATTTCCCGGGCATCGATGGCGAGGCGCTCTTCTTGGCGACTGTGGTGCATCCGTTGGACCACTTTAGCTTGGTGACGCTCCAGAGCGCACATGACATGGTCTGTGTCAATCCAGAATTCCACTCAGACCTTGAACTCATCCGGTCGACAGTCGTCATGTGCTCGGACAAGCTTTGGCTCACTTACCTGCTTCACGACTTCAGCTTTGAGGGATCCTCACATGTGCTTTTCAGGTCAACCTACGACTATGCAAAAACCATTGATGCGAAGCTGGCTGGGGAGATGGAGTGCTGCGTGATGCGCTGAGCCGCGAAAAGCGGTTCAAGCCGAACACCTAGGCATCCATCGGGTTCCATGCCACAAGCGCTAGGCCGCTAGGCCGCTAGGCCGCTGGTCGTTGGGCTGGGGGCTGTACAGCGCGGCAGAGGCGCTTGCTGTCCTGTTGAGCCGTCTGGCTCTGAGCCTTTGGTGGCTGTGTTTTCAAAGCCGGCAGGACAAACTTGCAGCGTTGAGCGTGGTCTTTTTTTTGGGGGATGATTTTGAATTTCGAACTGGAACGACTCAGAACCCAAGGTCCTCGGTGTCAGCTTCAGATTTGTTCCCCTTTGTTTGTGTGCTTGAGCACCTGACACAGGAACGTCTCCCATCAGATCATCAGATCATGAGCTAAAGGCCCCATTTTCTTTGTTGCGTTGTACCCCAGCCCCAGTTGGGGGCTGGAGCTTGGAGACGTTGCGCACTCAGCTGAGCAGTTGGCTGCGCTGACGTGTGGGGTGGAGCAATCTGAAGCTTTGCACTGGGTGTCAAGGCTGTGTGCTCGAACAATCTCGAGCACCTCACTTGTCACCAGACTGCGCTCATTACATCATGAGCGGAATACAGCCCTCGTCGCTGCGGGCTTGCTTTACATTCTAATCGTTGAAGAATCAGAAAGGGCACTGCCCAACGCGCAGACCTGTGCAAAACTTGTCCAATCAGATCATGCACTCGGCCAAGCCGTTGACCGTGGGCTGTGGTTGTGCGGCATTGACACTGGCTTGCGCCAGGTGTTGCAGTGTTGCGCATGCTGCAGCTCGCGCACCTTTCTTTGTCGGAGAGCGCTGCGGCTCAAGGCTCCACACCAGTACCCGCCATGTCGCCGTGGTCTCGCAACAAAAGGGTGCTTCTTCTGGTGTCGAAGCCCTCATCTGTGCGAACGTCGTCCACACGTCCACCTCACCCTTGGTGTACAGGTACTACCGTGGAGCAGTGGGCGCGCTGATTCTGTACGCACGGTTCTTACGGTTCTTACGGGATGCGATGCTTGTTGTGTGCTTGGTGTCTGTCCAGCTGCCTGCTGATGGTCCGCATCATGACATTCATGGCTCCGCACTCTGAGGATGTGACCTCAAGAGACTCGTACAACAACCTGCCCACATGGCTGCAGGAGAGCCAATTCCAAGCAAGGTGCTGCAAGCAGAAATGCCTGTTCATACCAGAATTCCGACACAGAAAACATGCATCCCAGATTCAGAAACCACGGTCTCCGAATCGTAGCGCTTTCGACCCCTAAGCTTCCCACCAGCGCCTCTCTATCTCTCACTCACTCTCTCGCTCTCTCTCTCTCTCTATATATCTCTCTCTCTGTAACTACCTTTGCTCTCTCTTTCCGTTGCCCTCCCTCTCATGTTTCTTTTGCTCGCTCTTTGTCATCGGAGGTTTTGTCGCTGCACAGTGCCGCGGTGCATGGCTGGGTGAGTGCACTGACACGTAGCAAGCATTGACATGGCATAGAAGAGCATGCGTAGGAGTTTATTGGTTCGGGTGGTCAGCGTGGACCTGGTGGCAGACAGTCGACAGTGGGTTGGCACATCAGCTTGTGACTCTACAGACTCGTAACTCCTACTGCACGGATCTGTTCTGCCTGGTCAAGTAGCTTGTTGCACTGAAAGGTTGGGGATCGTCTGAAAGGAAATCTGTGCTCTGTCTGTCCGGCTGTGCAGAATGCGCTGCTGACAGGGCCTGCGTAGCTCGTTGTAGAAGTGGATCCATGTCTTCCCCTGGACTTGGCATGACAGCACAACTGTCATATGCTAGCTTGACAGGTGGATCAGTTGGCATGGTGCTACAAGCCTCACCTCGACCCAGAATTCAAGCATCCTCGTTGGGGAGACGATGGCATTCGCTGCGCAACAACATTGCGAAGGGTTTGTGCTGCCGATTTTCTTGCTCCTCAGCTTAAGAAAGCCTAGAGCGAACTGCGCGAACCCCCCCTCCCCACAACTGGAGCGCCCACAGCCCCTCTGCTTGGAGAATCGGCCGCGGGAGACTGCGGACTGACACCGGGTAGACCAAGAGCCACGGGGAAAACGAAGCCAATTTGCATCAACTTGCATCGGACCAGTGCTTCCTCATGTGCTGTTGCAGTCTTTTTTGGGCTTGAAAAGCAGCATCCTCACCTTGCCCGGTTCCTCCGCAGAAATGGAGTGGGCTGCTCTGTTCGCTTTCTACACGCTGAACTTGGCAGCTTGGTATGTCGCCGAACAGTCGGCATACTGGCCACTATTGGGGCTGATGCGTTGCTGGGCGGCATTCCTGGGATGGTACACGTGGGATGCTCTGTGGTGTTGGAAGGCTTCCTTTGAGCACCGCCTGGACCGCGGTAAGCATGGCAGTCCATCCAACAAGCGCCGCCCAGATCTCGCTTCCTTTGAGTCCCGCCTGGACTGCGGCAAGATCGGCAGTCCATCCAACCAGCGCCGCCCAGATCTCCACCAAGCTTGGTCAGAGTTGGGGCTTGGCATCTCAACCTCCTCGCTTTCCACTTGCACCTCTGATGGCTCGAGGCCACGTCGGCGGGGCTCTGCAAGTAAGCAGCTTCCAGGCCTTCAAGGCACCTTGGACGATGACGTGGCGACCCACCTCGACTTGGACCACGTCCGGCTGTCCTTTGAGTCCTTCTTATGGGGTCGGATCTATGTCGGATTGGGAGCGTGGGCCAACATGATCTTCGGTGCCAAGGACACGCCTGGGGCGCTGCGCTTTGGAGTGTGGCACTTGCTCCACCGCTTAGGCTGGCCCCGCACTGTGAGGGATCCTCGCCGAACATGTGCGGAACTACTTTTGCAGACAAGTTTGGCAATCTACTTGCAAGAGCTCCGAAGCATTGATGGATGCAAGGGTGCTACAGGTGCTACAGGTGCTACTGCTACGTTCCGGATCCCAGCAGTTCCCCATCTGGTTGAGCCAGGAAGAATGGAGCAGAAGAGCTTGGAGGTAAAGGTAGACCTCAGGAAGAGACGGCTGGTGACTGCTACCTATGGTGACGACAGGCTTCGTCCAGACGAGGCCATGGTCTTGCTGAACATTGCTTGTTCTTTCATGATTCACCCTATGCTTCACGCCTTTGCGAACTGGTCCACCACGCCAGAAAGCCCGAACAAAGAAACCAGACGCAGTTCCATAGCCACCATCCTTTTCAACTACTATGGTATGAATGCCTTCGCACATTGGTGTGACTTCGTCTGTTCACTTGGGATGGGCCAAGTAAGTGGAGAGACTTTCAAGGCCATGGTCAGCTGTGGAATGCGCCAGCATGTGCCACCGCACGACAAGGTGTCGTTGTTGAGTGACCACAGCCGCTTCGTGAGATTTGTCGTGAAGGTCCGCAGGTTTTTCCTGAGCAGATTCAGCCAGTACCAAGCAGATTTCCCGGGCATCGATGGCGAGGCGCTCTTCTTGGCGACTGTGGTGCATCCGTTGGACCACTTTAGCTTGGTGACGCTCCAGAGCGCACATGACATGGTCTGTGTCAATCCAGAATTCCACTCAGACCTTGAACTCATCCGGTCGACAGTCGTCATGTGCTCGGACAAGCTTTGGCTCACTTACCTGCTTCACGACTTCAGCTTTGAGGGATCCTCATATGTGCTTTTCAGGTCAACCTACGACTATGCAAAAACCATTGATGCGAAGCTGGCTGGGGAGATGGAGTGCTGCGTGATGCGCTGAGCCGCGAAAAGCGGTTCAAGCCGAACACCTAGGCATCCATCGGGTTCCATGCCACAAGCGCTAGGCCGCTAGGCCGCTAGGCCGCTGGTCGTTGGGCTGGGGGCTGTACAGCGCGGCAGAGGCGCTTGCTGTCCTGTTGAGCCGTCTGGCTCTGAGCCTTTGGTGGCTGTGTTTTCAAAGCCGGCAGGACAAACTTGCAGCGTTGAGCGTGGTCTTTTTTTTGGGGGATGATTTTGAATTTCGAACTGGAACGACTCAGAACCCAAGGTCCTCGGTGTCAGCTTCAGATTTGTTCCCCTTTGTTTGTGTGCTTGAGCACCTGACACAGGAACGTCTCCCATCAGATCATCAGATCATGAGCTAAAGGCCCCATTTTCTTTGTTGCGTTGTACCCCAGCCCCAGTTGGGGGCTGGAGCTTGGAGACGTTGCGCACTCAGCTGAGCAGTTGGCTGCGCTGACGTGTGGGGTGGAGCAATCTGAAGCTTTGCACTGGGTGTCAAGGCTGTGTGCTCGAACAATCTCGAGCACCTCACTTGTCACCAGACTGCGCTCATTACATCATGAGCGGAATACAGCCCTCGTCGCTGCGGGCTTGCTTTACATTCTAATCGTTGAAGAATCAGAAAGGGCACTGCCCAACGCGCAGACCTGTGCAAAACTTGTCCAATCAGATCATGCACTCGGCCAAGCCGTTGACCGTGGGCTGTGGTTGTGCGGCATTGACACTGGCTTGCGCCAGGTGTTGCAGTGTTGCGCATGCTGCAGCTCGCGCACCTTTGTCGGAGAGCGCTGCGGCTCAAGCCCTCCTGGTGGCTATCGAGTAGGGTAGACTCCGGACAGACCGGGTAGACATGAAATGAAGAGTCTTCGATGTTGAAAACAGTCCTCCGCAAGCAATCAGCATGGAGAGCTGGAGCTGGTCTTTTGCCAGAAGAGTCCTGACAGCCTTGGCAACAGGTGAACCTTAGTGCTTAACAGAGTCCGACTTCCAAAACTGAGCACCAAACAAACATCCAGAGACTTGTCTCACGTTTCCTGGGGTTTGGATGATGGCAGCTCCACAAAGCAGGCTAGTTAGTGCACGTCAGATGGGCTGGGGATGGTTTGAGTTACCCTGGACCACCCCCGGTAGCCGACAGCCGAAAGCCAAGTCTTTGCCGCAGGTGTCGCTGAGGCTCTCGCGTCCGCGTGTGGTGAAAGGGTTGTGCCAGTTGCTTGGTCAGCTCCCAGAGTCTTGGGGAACGTGGGGAACGTGGTTCTGTGGTTCTGTCTGCAGCTCAGCACAGCTCACAGGCTCCCGTGGCATACAAGGCCCTACAAGGCCATACAACACTTCGCTGTTCCCCGGAAATTTTCAACTCAGAGGTTGGACATGGCAAGCACTGAGAAGAGGTCCTCTTTCAACCCTTTGCAACATTTCACGAGGATGGTATAATCTGTTTTGCCACACTGGTGTTGTTACGCCGTGGTGAAGGATGTCGGCAGACGCGCTTGCGGTGGAGGCCGCGCCTCCTTGCCGCCAAATGCCATCACACCTATCTTCAACACAGGGAGCCCATCGCAGCGCTTTCAGAAGACCTGCTTCGCAGCTTACACCTGGAGACAATTGGAGTGACAGAATGACAGAAGGAATACGGTGTATCTCAGATGTATTTCTGCTGTGCTCTCCCCATCTGAACTTCCCGCCCTGTACCAGGCTGCTGAGTCGGAACAGCAGAAGGGCACCGGCCCTGGCTCGGCGTGAGCTTAAGTTCATCATCTCATACCGCTTCTGTGCCGGCATCTGAACTTCGTTGCTTCTTGCCGTTTTCAAGCTTATTCGGGGTTCTTCGCTCGGGTTGACGGTTGTTCTTCAAGGACTGCATCCCAAGTATCCGTGTATTATTCTCTGCCACTTTCCTTTGCATCAGTCCGCGTTCTGGCGCCGTGGAAGTCCAGAACCCCAAAGCCTAAGCGAGTGCACACATCGAGAAACTCGGGAAGTACAGAACACGTGCAGACCCCACAATGCCTCCCGAAACGGCCCCTGGCTCCACAATTTCGATGTTTTCCGGTGGCAGACTGATTCGCACAAGTCCACTCTAGATACCTTTCGAGCCGAGGGCAGCCCTACAAAGCCAAGCCCGCGAATCATGCCTTGGGAGGAATCGCAGAGTGCGTGGAGGCCACCGCGTCGCTTCACTTTTGTACTCAGCAGTACCACAACTTAGCAGACTTTAGCAGACTTAGCAGACTTAGCACTTTCGTGCTCCGAGAGGTGCATTCAGAGTTGATCCGAGTTGCTGGCAGGTGGATTTGCAGAGCCGCGTGGAGCAGCTCGAGCGGGAGAAGGTGCACGTTGCTTGTGGTCTCCGGTTTTGTTCCGGTCCCCTTTGCCTTTGATGTTCCCCTTTGGATGTTCCGAAGCCGTGGCCACAGGAGCCTCAGCCCTTGACACTGCTCTCTAAGCCGCCTCTGGGGGCGCCTCCCTTGACCCTGCAGAAAGTCGTAGAACAACGTTGCCCCCCCCCCTTTGTGCTGGACTCCGAGAGCTCATGCAAAGAGCCTGAGCAAACGCAGAAAAGGTGTGAATCTCAAAATAACATTCATAGCGAGTCTGAAGGGACTGCAAGAAGCAAGCTCGGCGAAGCCCCCCCCCGCCCCGCCCTGTGAGAGGCCGAGCTCCAGGAGCGCCTCGACTTCGTGGAGGAGCTGCTAGGAGCGCGATCGATTCTGCCACCCCCTTCTCCCCCCCCCCCCCCACACTTTGAATGGTCCCCCCCCCCCCCCCCCCGCCCGATCTTTTTGGGGGATGTCGTTTGGAGGGGATGAGGAAGGTTGGGAGGGTTGGGAGGGTTCGAAGGGTTCTCACTCGACATTTCGAGTCGAAGTCTCTCTCAAGCGCCCCACTCCAAAGCCGACAGGCCCCACAGAGACCCAGAGGAGGACGCTGCAGGACTCGGACCGCGAAGGTTTCTGAAAGGTTTTAGGGCAGAGCTGTGAAGCTGAAGGGTTTAGAAGTGCAGAATCAGAAGGGTCCAGTCCAGACTCAGATCATCTCGCAACTCAGGATCGGAATAAGGAGAATCCTTTTCTTCCCTGGGAGGACAAGGCCCTTTCAGCGAGGTCAGCTGCCCTTCAGGCACCCGGAGCTGCTCACGTGCAAAATGTGCAAACAACTGAAGCGGGATGAAGGAACTGGGAAGGAACTGGGAAGGAACTGGGAAGGAACTGGGAAGGAACTGGGAACCGGGAGGAATTGGAGCCACGGATGCTTCGCAGACACCTTTTGGCTCGAGGACCAAACTGATGCCACGGTCGAAGGAAGTCCGGAGAGTGGAGCCGCAGCAGTACATGTAACGCATCCGAAAGATGCAGGCAACTGTCGTTCCAGCCGCTGCAGCCACCGTCACAGCAGCAACCAGACACCAGCTGCCCCCGATCTTTGGCGAGCTCGCCATGGCCCCGGTGTACATCGCCGGCAAAACGATCATCCAAGCTTTTGACTTCGATTTGGAGAGACTCATCCAAAATTGTCGAACTCTTGGACGATGCTCCGAGAGCCTGAGAGCTTTAAGGTTTTTGGCCTACCTTCCTCCAACCGTTTAGGGGGGAGTAGCGCTTCAGTGAGTCACCCCGAGGGAGTCACCCGCTTCTGAGAGCTTTGGAGAGCACCATCTTCCCACTCTCTTGCCCCATTCCCCCCTCATCCTTGGGAGACCGGAATCCTCGGTGGGGACGGGTTTCGGGCTTTTAGGGTCCTTAGGCCGAGTTCTCCACCGTGGAGACATTGGCGCAGCTGTGTCTTGACAGCTCATTCCGAATCCCTCAGCTGATTTGGCTCATTCCGTTTTGAAAAGCGACAGAGCGCTTTACTTTGACTCCACCGGTGTCAGCAATGGCTTGCTTCGAGGGATGCTTCGGCTGGGCGCACAGTCGCCCGGCCTCAAAAGGAGTGGCAATTTGGGGCAAACCCTAACAACTGAACCCGGTTTATGTTGTTACCCAAGCATTCACACCCCAACGGCCACCCCCCCCTCCCAAAGTCCCCCAATTCCAGAGCGCTTTTCAGGCGGACCCGGTGTCCCAGAGGCTCCCAGTGCAGGAGCCCTCTGCTTGTCTGGTCGTTTCATGTTTTTGATTCACTGAGTCGTTGAATCGCAGCCGCTTGCATGCTGCAGGTTTTTGGGAGATCACGTCGGGAAGGGGGGGGGGGAGGTGATTGGGGGGGGGGGTGGTTGGGCCTCTGCGGTTCAGGAGTCAGGAGTTTTAGACTCTAGGAAGGGTCCCAACCGTCCCAACAGGCTACAAAAGCCTGTCCCGACTGGTCTTGAAGGGTTTTTCAGGGCCCTCCAAAGCAGACTTCGAGGACCGCTGCCGCAGCTCCTGTCGCGCTCGCCGGAGGAGCTTCCTGCGCTCAAGCTCCACCTTCGCAATGTTCACCCTGAACTTGGGGGGGGTTGATGTCTTCAAGCGAGTGCAAAGAGGGGTCCCATCAGGCTGTGTGAGCCGCTGCCAAACAATGCTATTGCATGATTCCAATGATCATCCAGCCTTATCCGAAGCCGAGGGCGCGGAACGCGAACCATGAAATGGCATGAACCTTATGAGCCTCACAAGATCCTCAAAGTCCATCCCCAGTCCACAGGCCTGCAGCATCAGAATGGTAAGAGCACTTTCTCTTTGGACCGGCAGGCCCCACGCCCCCGCAACGAGCGCAAGATCTCGAAAGGCTGGGTGACCTTCCCATGCTTAGACTTTCCCATCAGACCCAGTGAACTCAAGTCCTGGCTTGTGTTTTGTCACGTGGGCCTGTTGGCCAGCTTTCTTCGTCACATTCCCTCCTTGCGATATTCAAGGAGACTCTTCCGTTTCTGCTGCAAGCTTCTCATCCGTCCTGCTAATGGCTGCTAATGGTCTTTCCCAGGATCCAATGACAGCAGCGGCTCACGTGTGCACTATTCGCTGACGGGCATCTTGGCCACGATGACGCGTAGTTACGGGCCATCTCCCAACTTGCAGCCACCTTGGATTCCCAAAGAAGTGAGGCATGCAGCTTCCGGACTCGCCCGTCGCTGTTGGCAAGAAGAAAGTCACCTACTCCATCACGGGCATGCCTTTGCGGCTTGGCAGCACGAAGCTTCTGAGCTGGATAGTTGCAGCAGAGTCGAAGTGCTTGGAATCGGCACGCTATCTGATGACTCTTAGGTACCCTCCCGAAGAGCCGAACGCCAACCAAAAGGTCGCCGAAAGGCCGCGTTCCAGTGTTCAGATGGTTCTGTTTGGGCAATTTGCCTCGGCAGCAGGCGTGGCAGTGGAAGCAAGGAGACCACCGGCACGAATGACAGCAAGACCACCACCACCAGCAAGGGGAGCAAGAGCAGCGGCCGGAGAATGCAATACTCCATCACCGGCCCAGCGCTTAGCAAGCGAAGCCCTAAACTGCCCTAAACTTACTAAATGACGATGACTGGAGCATTGGAGCATCAGTTTAGACACCGACAGCCTGGCATCATAGCCTCTATACAATAGCTCGCAGCATGCAGACATGGTGACCTTAGCACCGCCTCTCCAGGCATGCCATTGCCGGAGTCGCCCCAGCGGAAGACACACTCGATTACAGGAATGCCGCTGCCCCCTGGCGCGGGACGGACTTAAATCTACTGTATTCATGGCAGTCCAAATGGAAGCTATAGTTGTCTACACTGCAGGTCCTGGCTGGTTGGCTTGACTGGGGGGAGGTGTAAGTGGAAAGCTTTTGAAGCTTCAGGCATCCACCCAACACCAACGTGGAGCCGCCTCCGCGCAAAGGCTTGCGAGGCCTACGCCGGGAAAATGGGATCAACTGATACCAGCTGATATCAACTGCAGCTTCAAGGGCTGGTGATCGAAGTGTGTGTGTGTGTGTGTGTGTGTGCTCCCGTCAGCACTGCAGGCATGTTTGGGAACAAGTGAGCGACTTGACGCATCAGGCCGCGCCGATCGGGGGCGGGCGTCGGGTTTGTGGGTTGGCGAAGTCAGCACAAGCGAGCCTTCAGTGTCAGAGAGAGTCTACTCAGCCCTGCATCGAAGCGTCCAGAAGAATATTGCACCCCCTCCAGCCGAGCAGCCCGAAAGTATCTTCAAGGGGTGCAATTTCGAGGATGTGTGAGGCACTCGCCTCGCGCAAGCTCGCAAAGCCCAGCAAAGGTATGGAGAGCAGAATATTCGGTGTCCCCAGATAAGAAGTTTCCCAAGCCCTTCGTGTAGAGGTTTTGGTCCTTTCAGAGAGGCCGTGGCGCGCTCTTTTGTGCCGCACTTCCGGCACTAGGCAGTGCCGAAGATTCTGCAATATTCTGCAGTACGTGCTGGTAGGTGTAGTATTTTGAGTCTTTGGGTCGCTTGTGACGGCTTAGTGTGTTCTCGGAGATGAGGGTGAGGGGGGGGGATCCTTTGGGACTGCCTTTCAACGAGCCATGCCGCTGATGGCTTGTAAAGCGGCGGCTGGCAGCCCACGGTAAGATGAAGCGTTCATACTTACGTGAACGAATCTAGCGGCTATCTACTGTAGCACTGCCTTCTGATGCGGTGTGCTGCCAAAGCTTCGGAGGCGTAACTGATATTTCTTGCTGGCCAGCGAACTCCGCTGGCCATGGCACAGCATCGCGCTCTGAGACAAAGCAGTCATCCCGCTGTGGGCTATCGCAACTATCACGTGCTAAACAACACTACACGCAGCCCACCTCAAGTAAACTAGGCCCCTGGCAGACGAGGATGACTGTCGACTGTCAACTAGCTAGAGCCAGCTGAGAAGCAAAAATCAGCTTTGCACTTAATTCGAAGCTGAGCAGGATTGGGTGGCCTGTGCAAGTCACCGCAGTGAGCGCTAGGGAGATGGATGTTGGATAGTAACCCCATGTACTCAAGCGATCTTGCCCGTGTCTGCCAAGCATCTGCAGCAGCATTGGCTCCCTCTGTTCTATTGTCAGCTTGTGGTTGGAGTGGACTTTCTACGCGCGGTGTCACCCAACCCTGGCAAACGCACACGGGACTTTGCCTTGCCGATGCAACAGCAAGAGCTCAGCTCTTAGAGCTGCGAAGATGAGATGGAGCCACCAAGTGCTCCATGAGCTGTTGAGGACAGTTCTTGCAGGATGTCTTCTTGTAGAACACAAGTACATAGCAAGCTTATGCATCTTGTGCCGATCGACGGTTGACATAGAAACATAGCCTTCGTGATGGCACACATCCTGCTGCGGACCATGCAGTGGGACGGGTTGATGCGGGTTTGATTGATGCTCTGCAGGCGCAGTCCATGGGTGCACTCGTTTCGTGGTTCATGTGAGGTTCATGTCGGGCAGCACAAAAGCCCCGCAGCGGTCTGCACAATTCGCAAAGAAAGTCCCTGCTCTATGACGCTCTGGTACGTGTAGCCTTGCAACATGCACGGTGTGCGGTCCGCATTTCTGGAATGGATCCTTACGCCGAAGTGGGGGCACCTGCACCTCGTAGTTCGTTCAGGAAACATGTTTGTACGACGAGGAACTTGTGGGCAGCCTTCTAGAATCCTAGGAGTAGCAGCTGCTGGTTCTTTTTGACTGCTGACGGCACGCTGGTACAAGACAGAGACTCCGTTGAGTCTCACAGACACTGGCCTTGAAGGATGTCTGTAAAACGGTGCTTGGGCTGCTTTGGAATCGGTCGCCTTGCAGACCTTGCTCAAAGTACCTCGCAGCCCAATTCTTGTTTGCTTCTTCTCGTTCTTGGGCGGAATTTCCCGTCCATTACTGGCCTGCTGCAGTTTAAGGACCGGCGCGCTCGAGGCCAAAGCGCCCCCCATCGAAGTGGATGGGGCAGGCCCTTGAAGGGAGAATTGGCCGCCAGTTTGCTCCTAAAGCGAGGACTCCTGAGACATGTAGCAATTTGGCATCCTTTCGCGACTCCCGGAGGCAGCTTCCTCGCGCTTGGGCATGCCGCGGGCTTCACGAACAACGCTCCTCGCTGTGTGGAGAGAGTTCCAGGATTCCGAGAGAGGCTCCGGAAGATCCCCCCTCCTTTCGCTGCTACAAGCATCCAAAGCGCTATGAGGGCTCGAGCACGCATACAAAGATGCCACTCCCACATGTGTCATCCGAATGTATCATGCACCTCCCATACCATGGTATCATATGCACACCTGGCATCACCTGCCCCTTCAGATCTTCAGATCTTCAGAGGTGTTATACTCCGTGGCCAAGCCTGGGGCTGCCGCGCCTTGGACTCCACAGAGTTTTTTGCCGCCGGCACGCCTCACAGAACCTACACTTGCTACCGCAATGCAACAAAAAAAACGCGTGGTTTCAATGCAACTGCTCCATGTGCTCTATTCGCACCTGGGAAGTGGCCGCCTTGCAACTGAGCACCTTGCAGAAGATGGAAGCTCCGCAGCTGCCGCCAATTTTCTGAGGCGTGTTCTCGTCTGAGTCTCCGAGTCTCTCTGAGAGTCTCTGAGAGTCTCTGAGAGTCTCCGAGGCATTTCGTGTGGATCCAGCGACGGGAGGACTCGCTCACCTCAACACCGTCGCTTGTCTAAGCTGGGATCACATCTTCGGCATGAGTCTTGCAAGAGAACGCTCCGACAAGATTCTTCTAAGTGTCGTCAATGGCAGATGCCCTGAGGTGAAGTGCGACCTCTCAGGCCGGCACTCTCTGGTGGCTCAGGGGCTACCCTCTGAAGTGCATAATGATCTTAGCCGGGTTCTGATGGGGAGGGAGCCTAAAAGAACAATTTGTGAAGAACAAGCCGTGCCTTTTCGAGTATCCATGGCCCTGAAAGGGTTTGAACTCAGCTGGGTTTTTGAGGCGCAACTCTGTTCTTGACTGTTCTTTCTTTTGTTAAAACAGAGAATCTCGGTTTCTGGAGGCGCCTGCCACGTGACTGTGGCCTACAGCGGTGTAGAGGGCATGGCCAGCATCTCAGAGGCCCCATGAGAGGCCCAGAATGGCCCAGACCTTCAGAGGCTCGGATGTTCGGAGGCTCTTGGAGCCCTTGCACATCCTTGCGCACCTCTTTGGGGTTCGCAGGGGAGTTCACGTCTCTGGTTTTGTGTGCGAGGTGGCATGCTGAGTCAGCTGCTGCATTCAAGATGTCAGTTGAGATGTCAGAGCCCGTCACCAACAGAGGCGACGAAGGGCCACCCCAAAGTGTCCCCGGGGGACTGTATTCGCATGGAAAAAAGCATCGAAGAAACGAGGTTTGTTGAGAATCCCAATTTTGCACGGTCGACAGAAGGAAGCCACGCCGGCTTGCATCTCAGGTCATTACCTCTGCCTACGGTGCTGGTGGCCTGAACGTGATCAGGGCCAAAGAGGACGGTAGCCTTGCAGAGGCCTCACGGTTCAAGAGACACCCCTACAGCCGCCAGTCATACCGAGCTTCGTGAGTTGTATTTGTAGGCTTCCGGCCTTTCAAGCAGGCTAAGGTAGCAAACGTGGTGGTCGTCGCAGGTGCAGCCAGGAGCTTCCATCCAGCACCATGGGGGCAGCAATGTCTATCAACCAGCGGAGGGCAATGAGCAGGAACAGGCTGGATCTCGGATCTGATCTGTTGACCGTTTCTTGATTCAGGTATGTTAATGGTTCCTCTTGGTGGAGCCGATACGGATTTGATGGGTGTTTGACTTAGAGGGGTCCCTGCCTATTGAGGCGAATCGCACCACCCAGGCCCCCACCCTAGGATAAAATTTGTCTTGAGATCTCAGCCCCCACCCTAGCACAAAATCTATCATGAGATCCCAGCCCCAATGCTAGGATGACTTGCCCAAAGTACCCGAACCACGCACGTAAACCCACATGGTGTCAGCGGGAGTTATTTAGACTCCTATTTAGGCCCTAGGCGTATGGCACCTAGATAGATGTAAGCGTAGTGTTTAGGATGGTAGCTTAGGTTGGGAACGTAGAAGTGTGGATATCCTAGGATGGGGGAATGATGTTTTCGATAGGGTGTACTTTGATGCAAAAGGTTGTGGAACAGTGCTGTTGGGGTGCAGTTCGTAAGGGTTAGTGAAGGAGGTGGCAGAATCTGTGGAGTTCTGTTCTTTTTTTTTGTTGGGCTGTGTGGGGGGGGGGGGAATGGTGGGATTTTGGTGGGGCTGTTGGCTTGAGTTCGCATGGCTGTGTCCTAGTTTGCGCAGGTGTGTCCTTGAGTTCGCGCGTGTGTGTCCTTGAGGTCGCTCGGGTGTGTCCTTGAAGTTCGCTCGGGCGTGTCCTTGAGTTCGCGCGGGTGTGTCCTTGAGTTGGCTCTGGCGTCGTGTTGGGCTAGCTGGAAATGCACCGGGCTTGCTCTGAAATACCTCGGGGTCACATGGTAGAACCTCAGAGTCTGCAACCCTTAGCCACAAACCCTGAACCAAATTCTACAAGACCCCCCTTGCCTAGTTAGTCAGATAGTTGTAAGCATTATTCCTAGGATGGTAACTTAGGTTGGTTTCTTTGGGTGGATATGCTAGTATCGGGGCTGGGATCTTAAGATAGATTTGATCCTAGGGTGGCGGCTGAGATCTCAAGATAGATTTTATCCTAGGGTGGGGGCTAGGTGGTGCTCTAGACCTAAATTGGCAAGGTATCGTTTAACTGTTTGACTCCTGGCGCTGTCTGCCAGGCGCACCCGCATTCCTGCTTTATGGATCCCGAAGGAAGGTTCGCGCTGGTCTCGGATTTGGGCCGCGTGGGTGCAGCAAGATGTAGGTTCTGCTATGCTCCTTGCTTAGGCTCGTTGCGTTCTGATGCACGATTGTGGCAGAACTGTCCGGCAAGCTCTCGCCGTTGCCGGCCAGGCCAAGACAAGATCTATGTTCCTGGGCAGCAACGCCATCTGCCCGATGCTATATGCTAGATCGGCGAGTTGAGCAGATCTGGACCTAGACCATTGCCAGAAGATCATGGCAGCTCTCCTTAATTCCCCTGACAGAAATAGCCCTAGAGATGGAGGCCAGAAGCAAGGTCGGGAACTTGGGAAACTGGAGCCTTCAAACACTCCAGTAAAAACCATGCCCGACATACTGGTACAAGAACCAAAGCCCCCTAACCCCCCCCCCCCCCCCCCCGCCATCCGAAGCCCCTCAAAGCCCACGTGTTCAAACTCCCGAAGCGACTTCCCAGACCTACGCTGTGGATCCGCCGCGTGGCCGCCTCGAGGCGCGGGCCACCACTGCCACGGCCCCGGGCGCTGGGCCACGCCACCTCTGCTGCTCGGCTCCGATGGTGTTTGACGCCTTCGCCGCTTAGCTGAGTAAGTAGTGCTTGTTTGAGTAGAAGCCTTCGAGCGTGCCCTGAAACCTTGGTGACTCCGTAGGGGCTGGGGCTGCCCGTACAACGTGGCATATAAGGCATTCCAAGGTAGTTGTGAGGAGGGACTCTTGCGCTTCCTTGCAGCTGCTTCAGAGTCACCTGGTTGTCCCTCAGGTTTCCACCCCAATGGGCAGCTAGTGCAACCTGGCTTTAGCGGAACAGATGGGAGCCGCTGCTGGAAACCTTCTTCTGCTTCCCAGGGATTCTCAGGATAGCGTGGAACTGTCGCAGTACTCGTCTGTGGGGCAATCGTGACAGCAACCGGCAGTAGTGTATCGACAGTGCCGGTCACAATACTGAGAGGGATCTTGTGACGCAATGCGACGCAGAGGTATGGTATCAATGAGCTGGACTGCACCATCAACGTGTACAGCTATGATCGTGATGCCGCGCAGCCTGCAGGTCGTGCGGTGTGGGGTTCTGAAGCTACAACGCTTGTACTGTGCCCACCGGTGCCGGTCCTAGACCCTCATGTGACTTAATCTTCTGGGCGCAGTGTCCCGAAGCAACCTCAGAGCCTCCCCGGAAAACATCTTCGGATTTCAAGCGTGGGGAACATGGTCCACGCCACAAAAACTATTAGAGCCCGCAAAGGACTCTGGAAAGCATACGGAACACGCAGAAAGCACAACCTCCCACCCCTTCCTCCTCCTCTGCCTCAAAGGAAGGGAAGCTCGGCTTGATCCAGACTGTCTCGACGCTGCCCGAAGGCCATGCAGTAACCTACGTGCTAAGGCCAGCCTTCCGGGTCTCTGTTGGAGTAGAGACTGAGTAGATGTCCTGGGCTCAGCTATTCATTCTTCTGGGGCCCTCGCCAACTCTAGGCTCCGATCATCTCCAATCATAGCCGCTCCAACGTTGGTTCTGCATGGTTCTGCTGTGTGCAAGGATACAACAATCGGGATCATGGCAACGCGAAGAATGCTGCGGGAGAACCGGCATCAGGCTCCCGCCAGAGATTTCTTAGCTCTACTACTATCTGACCATCTTTTTTGCAGCTATTGCAGCAGAAGATCTCGGTACAGGACGCACGCTTTCCTTTTTTTTTTCGCCGAAAGGGGCTTTGTTTGCGACAGGCCCGAACCGACCGCAGCAGACCAATGCCACGGCGGCAGCCTGGTCGCAGATCTAGTCGCAGAAATTGGCGGCAGGTGATGTTTGTGTTGTCGCATTTCCTGCCGTAAGTGACTTCTGTTGCGCCCGGGGTACGGGTGGCAACCTGGCCTTTGATTTGCTGCATTTCACATCAAGCCACTCGAAAAGACGCCATCTGGTTTGGCTTGTCTGGTAGGCTTTTGTTGAAGATTGCCAGCATCACGCTCACTTACTTTCAGGGTGCGGGAGTTGTGGAAACAGCATTCGCGTTGACCGGTCGCGAAGGAGTCCAGACTAGTCTGATGAGGATAGATGTGCTGTGGCAGTGCCGGCACCAAGGACATCCATGTCTCGCCAGATGGTCGGTTTGTGCTTCTTGCCGAGCCACTTATGGCAGGTTCAAGGGCCATGGAGGCATGATGACACACGTATCATATCGTATCATCAACCGGTTTAGAATCCTAGCTGGGTACTGCATCGCCAGGCCGGGGGGGGGGCCTGCGCAGCTCGTCAGGTATGGCTCAAACCGTGGCCATGATACTTGGCCTGCACAACGAGGCAGTTTCCGTGCTACCAGAGAATAGATCAAGCTGGGTCAAGCTGTTGTCAACGGCGCACGCTTGGTTGCTGCATCCGATCCTCTCCATTCCTTGCATTGGTCTATCTTTGTGGACAAGTTATCGGCACGTCTGTAGACTCTTTCGCGCGTTGTGTGTTTTTGCACCGTCCTCAGAGCTCTCCTCTGCAGGCTTACCTGCATGGGAACTCTGGATTTTTGTCTGGTTCCGTTTTCGAAGAATCTCGCTACCAAGCCCCCCGAGATTCCTAGGGTCGCGGGAAATTCCACTTCTGGGCTTCCGTTGCGTGCCTCAGGATAGCTTGGTGTGCTTTGCGGTGGGTGGTAGTGGCCAGCTGGAGCTGGTGGGCTTCACCTACACCCAAGGCTGGATGAAGCTTGTCATGAGGTGGAGATGAAACCTCAGACGTCCCCGAAGAGGTGCCCATCCCAGGAACTTCAGCATCCACCCTTCTGGCGATTGGGTCTTGGTGGCGAACCAGGAGCGGGCTTCAGGATGCCTCGGTGCACCGAGGCCTTGGCTTCAACAGTATTCAAGTGCTGCCTTCTGTCTCCCATCAGGACAGTGACAACGTGGTGGTCTTCAGACGAGATCAAGGGACAGGCCTCGAACACCGTGTTGAACAATTCATCATGCGCAGATTTGCCATGTGTCCGTGCTCAGAGCGCCCACTCTAAGCGCAGCAGCGGCGAAACTTCGCATCTGAGAGCTTAATCCAATTCAGGTGGTTTGACGGCGACAGACGCCCGGGTCACACTGAAAACGGCCAGGCCCATCCGCAGTGCGGAATTCTATGCGTGGACGCTGCAAAACTAATTCCTATTTTGGGTTGCCTTCTGGGTTGCATTGATCACGCGTGAGGTGCATTCTTTGGGGCATGCCCGTGGAGCCTCGTCGGTGAGGCCACTGAGAAAGTGCCAGGAGATTAACTCGCCGAATGCTGGAGGTCGTTGAAGCTCGTTGCATCCCCGAGGCTCACTCCTGGCCCAGCAAGCCTTCAAGCATTGAGTGCTTTGCCACGACCACCCAACCGGTTCTGCGCAATGGTGGCGTACGCCACCGCCAGTGTACAGAAGCCTTGACCAGCTCAGGAATAGTTCGCGGAGTGTTCGTGGACTTATCCAGAACACGAGGTGCCAACGGAATATTTCAGTCGCGTGCTTCTGAGCGGAACCGCGAAGAAGATACCTAGATTCTTCTTATCCGACGTCCCACGTGGTGCACAAGCTACCGCGAGTCATTGGTTTCAAGAAGACTGCGGCACGCAGGAGAAAGGAACGATGCTGACAGTGCCGTAAGAAACCATGAGCTGCTCGAGCTTCACCTGCACCTGGGAAGATTTCCGAAGTCGACCTCAGTAGTTGCGGGGGCGGGGGATGTGCACGCACGCGCACTTGCATGCCGGCGTTTGAACTCCGACCGTCCAGTGTGGGCACAGGCCAAGTGGCGCGGCGCCTGCATCCCCACAAAGGCGATGCCGGTTCTGGTTGTGGCTTGCTTTGCTTCACGTTAAACTGTGAGAAGTCAGAAAGCGGGTCTCCGGGTTTCCACTGATAGCTGCACTCTCTTGACAGCTCTGGTGAGCTCTTCACCTAAGAGGTGGCCGGGCGGCTGGACGAGCGACTTGTGGCCGCACAGGTGGGTTCGCTTGACATCGGGTGACAAGGTTTGTGTTTAAGAAGCAGCAGTCTAGAAAGCCGAAGTTTGGAATCGTGGTCATTCTTCCCACCTTTCTGCCTCGATGCCAAAGCAGGGCCTCGCCGCCCGAGATGCAGGGCTTCTGCAGGCCCCCAAGCGCGAGAAGTGTCCGGTTGGGGCCTCTTAATTGTTTCTCGGGTTGCAGCTTTTAGGATCTTTTAGGGCTTTCTTCTGATCAAGTTGTCAAGAAGCTCCTCTTCAGTATTCAGCGCCCAAGATGTTGTGAGTTTGATCAGCGGGCAACCTGGAGCGCGAGCTTCCTCTCGATTGTGTGCCTTGTTTCTGGGGGGTGTTGGAGCGAAAGGCATGTACGCAGCACCTGCGTTTTGATCTGCCCGCCCAACACCTTTGGCCCTCCATGGCCCCTGCAGGGCGGCTGCCTCCCCGACGCAGAGGGCATCCTTCAGGATGCCCGGGGCCTCCAGTGTACTGGGGGGAAAAGGGGCACCGTTTTACGTGTGAAGTCGAGTCTCGCTTGGGGTGGCGGGTGAGCCTCAGTTAAGCTCTCCTTCGAGCCCAAGTCATGAAAGCACACGTCATCGTTCAGTCACAGTAGATCGCATTGACGGGCACCAACATCCTGGATGTGAGGTATGGAAAGAGTACTGCGCGCCGTAGTAGGTCCTCCTTTCTTTCTCCAAAAATCAGGTGAGCTTGCTGGGAGATCCTGGCTTTCGCCCGTCAGCCCTGCAGCAGGGATCTGGGGTGGGGGTGTCAGTGTCAGGTCTTAGAAATGCCCCAGGTTCGCTGCATCGAAGTCGAAGCCGCTTCACACCTCTGGTTTTCGTGTTCTTTGCACGCCATGCAGTCTAAAGAGGCTGTTCTGCATTAAGCAGCCTGACCTCCAGAGATGTCGAAACACTCACACGCAGCCGGCCACCCAAACCCTAACCCCTAACAAGAAAGATGCCTCTTAAGAGCATCTGAGAGGGTTTCCAGAGAATGTCCCCTTGAGGTACAGTCCGAAAACCGGCCGGGTGAAGCCGTGGTCCCAGAGAATATGTGCACTCATGGGATACAGAGTACACACTATAGCATAGTATGACCGACATTATACCAAATAGCATCATATTGTTATGTCAGACAAGATAACATATATCATAGCAGGCAATACATGTATAATATAGTATAACTTCTCATAGAACACAAAATTGCGTAGGAAAAATATACGAAGTTTAGTTTTCAAAATATGCTGCCGGAAAGTTGCATTTCTCGCAGTCTGCCTTCCTCAGGGTTTAGGGGTTTGGGGGAGTAGTGGCCGTACGGCTTCTGACACTTCCAGTCAATGGATGAGGGGCGGTGCGGGGCGTTTCGAACTTCTCCAACGAGGTACAGGCTGAAATACCATGCCAGAACAACATCTGACCCAATTCGGCTGAGTATGCTTAGGGAGCGCGACGAACATCCAGGTGGGCGGCGCGGGGTGGCCTGCTTCGGCTGTCCCTGGAGGAGGTGGGAGAGGGGCCCTGACTTTGGGGCTCGTAGGGCTGATAGGATGGGCACCTTCTTCTCACCATGTAGTCATTCCTGCTGTGTCTCGTGGTGTCTTTGTGTGGTGTCTCGCGCTGCCGCCCTTCCATGATGGGCCACCAGGAGATACGGGGTTATGTTGGGGCACGCTGGACCCCGATCATCGCGAGCATCGGCCGACACAGGTCACCTGTCAAGCCTGTCAAGTGGTTTGTTCCAAGTCATGGAAAACGTCTTCGGTGGCATGCTACTCGGCGCATGTCGGGACGCTTCTGGAACAACCCAACGACCGAGCGGACATTGTTGCCCTTGATGGCCGCCTGCATCGTGGTAGCGGCTCTGCTGGGCAATCCTTGCGAATTCGCAGCCATCATGCTCTCTTCGGCTGCTGCGGATCGATGGAAGACTCATCCTCGTTCTCAAGGAACTCGGCCATGCAAAGTTTTGGGCGAGGCGATCGCTTCGGCGAGCGTCTGATTTCTTCCATCTCGCCCGAGTACGCGTTGGGTCTCCCACCGCTTCGTGTTTTCCTCAACGTCTTATAAAGTGTCCTGACTCCATCGTTTGAGGCTGTCCCAGTACCCTCGGGACGGTGTGTTTTGATCCGATGCTGGTTTCTGCAGACCGCAAATATGATCAGACCCATACCGGGTGAGGCCGAAAGGTGGATGGGAGTGTATGGGGGTAGCTAATGGATGGGGGTAGCTAATTGTAGCTAAGCGGCGGAACTCTCAACCCTTAAACCCTCAGTTCTCATGTCCTGACGTGTGTTGTTGAACCTTTTTGGAGCTTGCTTTTGTCAGGTGCGTGGCCGCTTTGGTGAGGCAGTGCCCGAAGATGCCTCGAACGGGTACTAGCATGGGTGATGTTTCATCTAACGACGTGCTCCTCAGTTTCCTTTGCCGGCTCAATTCTGCGCGTTTTCAATCGCTTCATCGGCATTTCATCGGAGACCCTTTGTGAGACCCGTTGCTGAGCTTTGCTGTTCATGCAGGAAGTGGCTCAAGACGTTCTGCGCTGTGCCCGCGAGTTGGATGAGTCGCAGCCTCAATGTGGTGCTTTGCCGGTCCTTTTGCAATAGGCTCAGTTTGGCAGCCTTGTCTCTGCGCCAGCATAGCAACACAAGTGCGGAGCTGGCCCTCACTGACGCCCAGGTATGATGCCTCTCGCCGTGTGGGGCTGGAACTCCCGTGGCATCCCGTAGAGGACGCACAGCAGCGCCAGGGGCCGCGAGCCTCGGAGAAGCTCTCCATCCACCAAACTTAGAAGTTGCTCCCTCTCCCCCAAGCAAAAAAATTTGGGCCGCGCGCCTCCCAAGCTTTCCCCCCCACATGGAGGACCGTGAGTTGGAGCCCGCCGAGGCCAGTCAGCCAGTCTCTTCCCTTCAAAAGAGGCAATCAAATTCTCAGAGGAAGGGGGAGAGCTGAGCGTTGCTTAAAGCAAACCTGGGGCTGTGCCATCCTGGGTTTGGGGAGGACCTTCCCAGGATTTTGTCAGCTCAGGGGAGTTTGGTCCGAGAAGCTCTCAGAACTCTCGCAACTTGCAGCCCTCAGAGTTATCAAGATGTATCAAGATTTGGGCTTCGCCTCGGAAGAAGCTTCCCCGAAGAGTGCCCGCATGAAGAAGGTGAGAATGTTTTGTCTACCTGCTCTCTTGGCTCTTAGGGCCCAACCATGGCACCATGTGCAGGGCGACTCGCCAAGAGCCAAAGAGATGACCGCCCGCACGTGAGGGTCACTCACAACTCTCACACTAGGGCTCAGACATATATTCGAGGTCCTTGCAGCTTGTCCTATGGACCAGAGCCTTCAACACTGAGAGGACTAGTCTTGTCCCGAAAAATTCTCCCGCCTCGCCGCGATGGCTGCAGCTTCAGCCTTGAGTGTCCGATTTCCTTTGCACCTCGGTAATTGAGGCATTTTGCAGGAGTTGCATGCGAAGCTGCGTCTAAACTAACGGCTATCAGCAAGATGGAGATTCGGCGGCCTTCAGGGCCTTTCAGGGGTGAAGGCACGCCTCAGAATAGGTCCCTGTCTGCACTTGGCGGCTTAATAAACCGTTGGAGGCAACATTGCAGATTCGAGGATGGACGATTCTCAGGAAATGGTTCTTTGAAGAATCTTCAATCCTCAATCTTCACACCTGGGTTAATGTTGACTTCACATTAATAACCCCCCCTTGGTTGATCAATCTTTTCGGCCAGGGCCTCCTCAATTGCATTCGCCTAAACCCTGGTAGCATTTTCTATTAGTTTTAGTATTAGGTAGTAGTAGTAGTAGTAGTAGTAGTAGTAGTAGTAGTAGTAGTAGTAGTAGTAGTAGTAGTAGTAGTAGTAGTAGTAGTAGTAGTAGTAGTAGTGGAGTAGTAGTAGTAGTAGTAGTAGTAGTAGTAGTAGTAGTAGTAGTAGTAGTAGTAGTAGTAGTAGTAGTAGTAGTAGTAGTAGTAGTAGTAGTAGTAGTAGTAGTAGTAGTAGTAGTAGTAGTAGTAGTAGTAGTAGTAGTAGTAGTAGTAGTAGTAGTAGTAGTATAGTAGTAGTAGTAGTAGTAGTAGTAGTAGTAGTAGTAGTAGTAGTAGTAGTAGTAGTAGTAGTAGTAGTAGTAGTAGTAGTAGTAGTAGTAGTAGTAGAAGTAGTAGAAGTAGTAGTAGCAGTAGCAAAAAAGAGTGTCTGCAGCCAGCAAGCTCTAAACTCCCCCCTTAAACTTATAAGTTTAAGCAACCTGGAGCATCACCCTGCAGCCAGCAAGCTCTAAACTTCCCCCCCCCTTAAACTTATCAGTTTAAGTAACCTGGAACATCTCCCTCAAAAAAAAAATTAGGAACAAGCGTGATTTTATAATTGTGGCGGCCGATATTATTGTGTTCCGGCCCCCGGGATTGTAGCGGGATCACTAATGTGAAGTCAACATTATCGAACACAGGCTTGAATCGTTTTCCAACATGTTTACTCACAATCCTGGGGTTGGGGATTGGGTGTTGCGGATTCCTCCTGGGGGCCTTTCCTTGGGAATCTTCGGCTTTCACTCTTTCAACCCAGGATATTGAAAAAACTGTTGAACAACTTCTCAAGTGTTTATTCAAGTCCTGGGTTTTGAGAATTGAGGATGGAGACTCCTCGAAAGGCAGTCTTCAAGCCCAGCATCTCAAGTAACACTTGAAACATATTCAAGTTTTAATTCGCATGGCCCTGTGCTGACATTAGAAGTCTCAGACTTCCCGCATCAGACGTGAGTGATAGAACATGCACGGCACATAAAAGCGAGACTCGGGTGGGAGCGTTGAAAAGCCAAGCAGAAACACAAAGCACAGTAGGTACACGGTTACCAAGCGCATGCATATGCATGCACACATGTACTAATTTTCAAACAGACATGCAGACGTACATACTTAGGTACACATGAATTTCCTAATTTTTTGTCGGGCCTTTCCGACATCGCCCAGGCTAATCAACATCGCACGGTGGCTCCGGCAAAGACTGTCGAAGCTCTCCCGGCGCTTGTGCTATGTACCAGCCTCAGCGAAGAAGGTTCCCCCTCCCAGGTCCCAGGAGGTCCCAGGTACCAGAGAGGGAACTTCCGCAAGAAACAAGGCGCTGCTGGCAGCGTGGGCACTGCACTACCTGCACAGAACCCTGGCAGCAAGGATCTCTGTGGCTTCCCTGATTCCGCGCCAGGAATCCACTAATGCGACGGCCCGCTGTGTGAACTTGCAAGGCGTCCGCCGTGTGCTCGTTCACTTCTCGAAGACAGATGACTCGGACCCATCACGGCAGGCCGCGAGAAAAGCAAAGCATAAGGAGCTTCCGCTGCTCACTGGAAGGTATGGCAAGGCATTGGAGGTTTGAAGGCTTGCAGGCTTTTGCCGCAGGGACTTACGGTATCGCTTTGGGCTGGCATGCTGGAAGTTTGATCCCGCCACCCCTGCGCAGCTCATGCAGCGCATTGTAGCGCGGTGTCCAGCACTGCACGCCGTGTGCCATGTCTGCAGTAAGTGCAAAGTACGGTTTTGGCGCAACTCGCTGCAAGGTTTCGGGGGTGGTTGCCGATGCTGAGGACTTCTGAAACCGGTTGAGCCATTGGACCATGTTGAACCACTGCTCCAGCAGTGGTTTGACTTGAAGTCATGAAGGCATCGCTTTGCTGACAACAGCACTCTTCAGTCTTCAAGTGATACAAGTAGCAGCGATGGCATGTGTTAGGGTGAAGGTGCCTTGCGAGGAGGGATAGTTTGACAACAGGAAGGGGGTGTGGGTGTGGGCGACGTCTGGAGGCTCGGGGGTCTTCACAGGCTCATTGTGTGAACGAGTGTATGGCCACTGAGTATCCAGAACCTTGCGTTTTTGTGCCAACAGCGGCCAAGGTATTGGCCGACGTTTTATGCTCATACTGCCATGCAGCAAGTGTTCCTGCTCGGGCTGAAGGACACGCACCGGGCGTCCTTGATTTGGGTCTTTCGCTGGGCTCCAGGACCTTCTCGGGGCCGAAGTTCCCCAAACCCTCTGAGAGGTAGCCACGGTATCCCAGACCGCCCAGACCCAGAGAGCCTAGAGCGGGCTCGAAGTAATCGACTCGCATCTAGCGGCTTCGGTTTCCTGCCCCATTGCGATGCTCAGGAGGTCCGCAGTTTCCTGCAGTCAGGGGTTTATCAGCGGCAGAGCCCTGACTGATTTCAGAGGATAGCATGCCTCAATGTGAAAGCTGATGGGATGGTGCTGTCCGGAACCCTCAAAGGCTTCCGAGTCGGAGACTGCTGAATGTGCATCTGATCAAATGCCTTTTGCTTCTTCTTCTTCTTGCCCATTGCAGTTCTTGCTCTTCTCCTTTTTGCTGTGCTGAGGATGCTGGAGTTGCGGGACACTTCGCAGATCGCTCTGGACTGGGTGGAGCCGCGCTTCGGCACGGCTCTTCTGCGGCAGCATGTGGCAGTGGCTCTGTCTCTGTCTCACTCTCCCTTCTGCCTCTCGCTCTCGCTCTCCCTCTCTCTCTCTCTCTCTCCCTCTCTCTCTCTCTCTCTCGCCCTTTCTTCCCTATATATATACATATACATACATATGTACATATACACATGCACTGACAGACTTAGCCGACATGGTCTGCATCGCAACGATTTTCCCGCACACCATGAGGAGAAGGGACAGGGACAGAGACGTGGGGCGAAGGTGGACAAAAGAGAACTCAGGGAGATAGAAAACACATGAAAAATTGGAACAAGAGAGGGAACTGAAGGAGAGAAGCAAGGAGAAAGAGGGATCTTCAACTCCGGGGAGCCCACATATATATATATATATATGCAGCCGAAACAGGCATTTAAAGGCCTCAACAGATTTCAGGCTCAGGAGGGGATCGGGGTTGAACCAGGCTTGCCCGGATGGCCCGGTCTGCATCCTTCTGCACGGGGCCATCCAGGCCACCATTGGCTTCTGTGCTTGAGCTTCGGGTCTGTGTTCAAGCTATGAGGGGTGGAGCAGTGTCAAGTTGTTCTGCCCTTTGGTGATGCTCTTCAGTCTGACGCTGAATGTTGTAGTTGCCCATGAAGCCTGACCCCGCACGAAGCCTCAAACTGCCCGCAAAGCGCTTGGAACAAAAGCACAGCTCGACTGCAGAGTCCTGGGCCCATGCAGCGGGCTGCAACCTTCGGACAACAGCAGCGTGTGCTTCTGTAGATGCTGGTAGAAACAAAATCACATGACCTTCACACGCATGTGATGCTCGTGGCCTGATGTTTCTCAAGTCACCTATGTTCAACAACCCAATGTGCCTAAGCTCGATGAAACCTTGGCCCTCATACTCTCCATTGTGGCCACTAGACACTAGACCCCGACCACGATGTTCGCACTACCAGCTGTTGCAGGGAAGCTTCAGTGCAACGATGAAGGAGCCGAGGGCATCCCTGTTGACACGGATGAGCATGTATTGTTGCTTGTGACAGCTAGTGACAAGAACCATGTTCAACGCTCAACAAAACCTGTGCAACCCATCAATCTGCAAGGCAAGCCATTCAGTCCCAAGTCAAAGGCGTTTCCTCCACTTGCAGCATACGTAGGATGTCTAGTCGGTGCCTGGACCAGCTAATGGGTGGGATCGAAGTTATTTCGGCTACTGCGCGACTCGAGAGCTCCCTGAGATCGTGAGGACATGGCTGTTGAGCTGGCTAGCCGTGGTTTGACCGCCGTGCTCCTTGCCTGCAGCAGTCCTGCGGCTCGTGGGGCACCTGCTTCATAGTCGGTGAATGCACAGGCGTTGACCAGACAGGGATTTGATTGGAGTTTGGTTGGCCTTATGTATTCTCGGCAGGCTCGCTTTTGTGATCCGGAGTCTCTGGTTTGACTGGTGTTTTGAGAGTCGCATTCAAGCTTCTCCCTCTTCTATGTCACCCTTCTTCATACAGATGGTGCACTTTCGACTGTCGACTCGTCCTCACCAGCTTCCGACATACGTTGAACACGGCGGAGTGCATTCCAGGGTGATGAACCGCCGTGGATATGGCAACGTGAAAATGGAGGCGGACTCCGCTCGGATGACCTTGTACGGAATTGACGAGGACCGCTCTTTCGGACAGAATGCCACATGCGAGAATTGCACTCCAAAGCAATTCCTCTCCCGGAAGGGCCGCACTCAGAGTTCTGCATGACGTTTCATGTCTGGAAGTTTGGAAGCAGTGAACAGTACCCTGCAGCATCTCGCAGCCCTACAGCTGCAAGTGCGCCCATAGACACCATCAGGGTTTAGGGGGTTTAGGGTCTCCTAGCTCCTTCATGAAACTGCAAGCAAAACTGCAAGCAAAACTGCAAGCAAAACTGCAAGCAAAACTGCAAGCATCTGCAAGCTCTCGAAAGACATTGGAAGACCTCCTCCAGTTCAGGACCTGGACGAGGTCCTGCTCGAGGTCGGTCGCCGCTACCCCGGGCGCCTGGTGGCGCTCGTGGGCTTCTCCTGCGGCTCCTGTTGCCTGTCTCTAGCACAGAGAGCGAGTCGTGCTTCGTAGTTAGAGTTAGAACTAGTTGAAACTTAAAATTACCGTCATCGTTTCGTGAGTGATAGCTTCTCATGGCATATCATGTTGGGTGTGACTCCGAGTCATAGCCCAGGCTATGCGGGGCGATATGCAGCTCTCCGGGCGCATTTATCCGCCTGGGAACAGGACCACGCCCGAGGGATCCCGAGGGTTTAGAGGGACGATTGGTTTCTTTTGGCCCGGTGGTAGCCGGTCGGACTCACGTCATGACAAGGCCCTGCACAGCTACACCGACAAAACACACAGCGCCCAGGACGCTGAGGACGGTGGTCTGTCGAAGACAATACCACGAATCCTCTGTGCGGCGCTCCTTCCGAAACGGGAAATCTCCTGGTTTAACTCGTTTAAGGCTTCAAGAAATGACGTGGCTGTTGGCCATGGCTTTCGGTGTGATTGAAGATAGGTTGAAGCAACACTGAAGCACCATGTGACTTGTAATACGAAGTAATATGTAAAGCAATGGGGAAGCGGCCATCCCAGGTCAGCTATGACAATGGCTACTGCGTTGACAGGGCTGTGGGCAAAGTGCCACGGCCGTACTGCTGGGTGACCGCCCCAGACTCTGCCATCCTGTGCTGTGCTCCATTCAAGGAATTCAGTGTCGAATGTTGAGTTACAGTCCCAAGCTGCAGCTGTGGCCGATCTGAAAACAAGTGGCCAGTTCTCAGAATTTCGATCGCTATTTTGGCTTTCTGAAGTATATACTTGCCCGGATCCAAAATGTAGGGAACCTAAGTGGTTTGTAGATTTCGACGAAGAATTTTGTGTGCTCCAACGACTACAGACTCTCGAGGGCTGGAGGCCGCTGCAGCGGAAACATTTTCTGCAGTTCAATATCACGAAGCGCCGAGCGTGTACTGTACTTCTTGACTTATTGTTCTGTGGTGCAGCTGCCGTGCTCACTCTACTTCCATTATCTTGCGTTGCAAGGCGTTGGATATAGCATTTCGTGGTGGGCCCAGCTTCTCCGGATTTTGTGTGTGAGGGAAAGAAACATCAATGGCAAATGCAGCAAAGGCACGCGCAGCCGAAACATTGATGCCCAAGCCTGACACATCTTCAGGATATCAGTACGTCATCCGTCACCGTGACACGTGGACGCAGAAGTCGAGCTCCTGCGCAGAGGTAGTTAAGGCCTGGCAACTTTCGCAGGTCCTTGACTATTATAAGAGAGGCTTCAGTTCCGTTGCTGCAAAGAGCTGCAAGCTCAAGCGTTTAGAGCTCTCTTGAGCCCGCTGTGCCTGCGACAGTCCATATGCGGCTGTCCGGGCGAGACCATGTTTGAAGGGCAAACACAGTGATCAGCTCTTCTTCAATTACACTCTCCCAGTTGCTGAGAGCAATGCAGCACACCAAACCTTGGGGCGCCCGGCTCGGAAAGAGATCGCAAATATTCCCTTTCTATGACAGGTGGCACTGAACCCTGCGACCAGCTTCGTCGAGGTGTACGGCGAGGTCACCAAACTTGCAGGCGCAGAGAGGGGACTTCCCATCAAGTCCCAAAGCCCCTCAAGTCTCCGCAGTCTCCGCACTTCTGAAGCCGCTGCTTCTCTCCAGGCTTCGGCTGCAGGAAGAGCTGGCGCGACAAGCAGCAGTCTGTGCTCACGGAGCCACGCTTGCACCAGGGATCGCTAAGGGAGGGCTATGGGAATTTGCAATATTACACAATGCCTGAGCCGCTTCCTGCATAGAACTGTTTTCCCAGCCTGCGAGAGCCCTCAGAAGATCGGGCCCAGGATGTGCATGTACCCTGCTTGCTGATCAACTCGCCTCTTGGCGGCCAACCTTTGGTAGAGCCTGGTAGAGCCAGGGTAGAGCAAATCCAAGGCTTGACAGGTTGTTTGAGTCATTGAGGGCCAACTTGGCAATGAACAGCAAGCCTATGCAGTTTTCTTGTGCCCTGAAGGCGGGATGATCCCATCTCGGTTTGGGACAACGTGGAAGACACTCACTTGCACAGAGCTTTCAGTCCGAGTTCTGTAATCCTGCATGATGTTCCCGCTTCGGAAATGGGATGGGATAAGCTGCATCCAGAATGGGCAGAGAAAGGTTTTATCTGCTGGTGCTCTGAGTCTTTCTCTGGGTTTGCGCTTTGGCTCTCTTTTTCTAAGACTCTTCTGCCAGGAGAATGCGGCAGAAGTACAGAGCAACCCGTGCCTTGCGCTGGCGGAGTTGCACCTTGACCAGCAGAAGGGCAAGTTGGATCTGAGCTTTCGGGAAAAACAGAGAAATAGAGGAATATTTAATAGAAGCATAATAGAGGAGGGTGTTCTTAAGATCCTTGAATTCTTCCCACTCGCTTCCGCGGATGTCAAGGTATCGCGGCTCGCATGGGTGCAAGCACCTTTGCGGCAAAGGGCGTGACGTGAAGAACATCCGTTCGTAGAAGTTAAGGTTATTACAGGTATCGGCGTTCGCAGCTCAAAAGGTGCACTTTGAAGAAGGTCGGTGAGTGCCAGCGTTTGCCAGGCAAGATGCATATGACAGTTGTCCTGTTGTGGCAGCACGGTTGCAGATCCTCCGTTGAGCCGAGGTTCGGCTTCTGGGGCTTTAAGTCGGTGGGAAACACTATGATCGGCGAGTTCATTCTCGCTGCCGCAGCCGAGCTGAAACAGGCGATCCTGATGAGGATCTGATGAGGTAATCGTTTCTGTCTTCTGGCTAGGGAGCCAGCAGTTGGCAGCTGACAGTTTTAGTTGCTAAATTTGGTTCATGCAGCCGTAAGCACCCGCAAGAGCCAACCCATCTTACATGGCATGACTATCTAAGATGGACGATGCTCGGCATGCTCCAAAGCACCCGGTAGCAAGTGGATGATCAGCCGTTCGATGCTCGTTGCTAGCTAAAATTTGTCAAGCTTAGGCGCGCGAGGTCTGCCCTAGAGCACACGGCCCCTTCAGAAAATCTACGTGAACACCTCACCCAAACTGTCTCGTGCAGGCTCGCGCTCCAGACGGTGCGGCATCCTTGAAATGGCAGGGGTGCACAGACTCGCCCACTCGGGCGGCCATTGGGCTCGGGGCTGGAGGCTAAAACTTGGAGACTCTCCGGAAGCAGAAAGTGCTAGAAGATCATGGCGTCAAAAGCAAAACAAGAGCTTCAACTCAATGAGCAGACTCCGACTTCCGCGCTGGGTCAAAGTCACAGAGCGATTTCCGAGCCGCAGAGGCCCCCCCCCCCGGACTTTTTGCAATTAGAGGCGGTGCGCGAGCCGCACTTTTGCAATTCGCAATTAGAGGCGTGGGACCTCCAATTGGCTTTAAGCTTTAGGTACTGCGATGTGCCGCGATACCGGGCTCTGCAGGCTGTCGGGCCAGTCGCCGTCAAAAACGGCGTGGCTCGCATGCCTTTTGCCAGAGCTTACGTTTGTGCTGCATCCCTTCATGGAGATTGTGCAACGCAGCAAAAAAGCATTTGCCGTCTAGGTATTTCTAGATTGCTTTCAGCACTTGGCGGCGCTCGCGGGTGTTTTCTGCTACCCGACTTGCTCCGACATTTTAATTTGGGGCAATGCGACGTATGCATTCGGATGCCCTCGTCTCTGCGATAGCATCCTGTTTCGAAAAATGGCCATAAAGAGGGGCGCGTGCACCTTCTTACCTGCATCATGCTGAGTGCAAGGTGCACACAACTGTGCGCAAGTGCGTGGTTCACTCATTCAGGTGATCCAGTTGATGGACAGAGAGTTGGCATTAGCAGCTAACCTTTCGCCTTCGCCTCAGACAGAACTTGAAAGGAATATGTCACACATGTCGATGTCACCACGCGCGACGGATCCGAGCGGCATTTCGTCATGGTTGAGAGCTGAACTTCGAGACCTCGAGGTACCGGTACCACGATGAGCCCTTCGATGAACAGTTGACCGGTGAATTCGTTCTGCGCCAAGTTGGTAAGAAAAGGGGCTGTGAAGGCTGGTATTGCACTGTGTAAGTTGCTGCATGGTGGGCTGACCAGTAGGTGCCAGGCATTAGAAACAGGAGGTGGCTTCCGTGTGGAAGCGATAGCAGCTTCGAGCACACCAAAATGTACCCGGCCTCGGGTGTAAGAATGTGTAAGATGAGAGCGGCTATGGTCAGCGCATGTAAAGTCGAAGCTCACTCGATAGGATGTCAGACCTTCCCAACCGAGTGTTAGGCTGACGTGAGCTCTGCCATTCAGTTTACGCAGAGTCGTTCGCCCTCTGTGGACTTCGTGGAGTTGGTTGGAATCTTGGGATATCTTGGGGCTTCAGCTGCACACCCCTCGGCTGAAGCGCTGGTGGCATGAACCTTTTGTCCGTCCGAGGTATTCGAGGCACCCTGGGAATCCCCGACGGAGCGGGGCCCAGCTAGCTCAACTAACGTGGACAGTTTCAGGATGTCTTGAAGAGTAATGTTCCTGGTGCCAAATCGACCCATCTAACAAGACATTGATTGGGCCCTCAGGGGCCCGAAGGGGCAGCCCCGAGGCCAACGCCGCACCGGCCCGGGTCCCGGCACCCCGGGCAGCACGGGGGCCCAGCCGCGCCAAGCGCGCAAGGCCGGGGGGGGGGTTGGGCCAGAAGGCGCTGTGTTTTCGATTGAGGGCTCTGACAATGAGGGAGTCGTTTCTTTCAACGTTTTTCGCCCATGTGCATGTTGCTCTCACGCGGGCGCTTTCGGAGGGCCCGCTCCCAGCAACGCGCGCGGCAGCGCTCCGTGGGCAGCCGGGGCCTGAGCCGCCTGACCTGCCTGAGCCCTCCGAAAGGTTGAGAAAAAGGATTCAAAAGCGGGCAGGCGCTGTTGTTGCCTCGACACTAGAAGGCTACGATTAGCATGTAGCTGAGCTTGACTGGCACCAGTGAAACTGGCAGCCGCAGCTTTTGGGTGTCCCCTTTTCGAGGGTCTGCCGTGTCCTGCGCAAGTTGCCACTGCCAAAGTCTGCAACTTGTGTCGGGGTGCGATGCCACTTCAGCGAAAAGCCAAGGTGCCGCGGCCGTCTACACGGCCTCTGCTGCAGGGCATGCTTCAGCTCGCGGCCTCGGGACTTTGCTACACGTCGGACTGCATGCGCAGTATGCAAGCTCGCTAACGGCGAGATGTTTATGAGTTGAAATTCGAATTCTGCTGTTGCAGCAGTTGCACAGAGGATCACAGAAGTTTGCATCACCCCTTCCCCCCAACAGCAAGACCATGCCGTGCTGATCTTTTTCTTGTTAGCCCGCAGACTCTCGCCATGACGTTGATGGTGCTCCTGAGCTGCAGCCCATCAGGCTGGAACACACGGCTAAAACTAAGTCGAGCTACTACTTAGATATACCATATATGCATAGACCAACAGACCTTCTGCGCTTGTGCCCTCAACTTCAAACGGGAAGGACAAAGTCGAGGCAATGCAACGTCAGCCATGATACCCCCCCCCCCCCCCTAAAAGGGCAGCGGTGAAAGAAGGGCTGAAAGACGTGCGATTGGGGGGCACCTCGAGTTGTAGCGCTAGAGTGGCAATTGGCCGCAAGTCCTGTCTCGGCCATGGCACTACTCCAGAAGCTCCTCGAGGATCGCTTTCAGCACCTGCTGGAGGAGGCCCACTTAGAACGGTTTTTTGGGTACGCAGCAGACTATCTTGCTGTATGAAACTTACAGCTTCTTACAGCGCTGAAAATCTTCGCTCGATGCGCGACACGAAGCCCTGTCCGCGGTCTGTGGCAGCGTGTCTGAGTCATCTTCTTGCTCATTCGTGATCATTGGTGCTTACGTCTCACGTGGGACAGGTCCTTGATTTCATGCGTGCAAAGACACACTATGCCAGGTTGACAAGCGGCTCCAAGAGCAACGGCAAGTTCTTGAAACCATGTGCATTGGATCGGAATTTTGGGAGTTCGCAAGATTCGTAGGGTGTGCCAGGAGACCGGGAAAGGCGGTGCGTGAACCGTACGAATGTCTTTTGACATCTTGCCGAGATGAGGCTTCGTGGCCACCTGGTACAGAACGGGGCCCCATTGGAGGAGCCTGCTGCGCAGGCATGTGAAGCTCCGTCAAGCTGCTTGTGGTGCTTGATTATTGATTGCGGGGCAGTTGAACCATGAGGGGTTATCAACAATTTGACAGTTGTGTTGATTTGGCCCGATAGTTTGCCTAGAGTAGTCAAGTAGTGATTGTAGTATGGCATGGTCGGAGACTTGCTGATCATGTGCCGCGGGGGCCTTGGGTTGCGAAGCCACACATGCGGGGCGTCGATTCCTGCAGACCTGCACTTCTCGATCTGAGATCTCAAGCAACTCTCGTGCCTTTTTGAACCGACAGCTGTCCTAGAACGCAGGTCCACTCCTCATCGGTTGTGAAACCGGGCGTGGACCTCACTGGACCCACCGTCATAGACTCCGCATACCCGGCATACCCCGTGCCCGTGGACTCCGTGGGCCTGGAAACTTGGCCTCTGGAGCCCATCCTCGAGGCGGGGAGATCTTGTATGGCCTTCAGGTTCAATGAGTTCAGTAGTTTTATGTGGTTTATGTGGTTTTCTTTGGGTTTGTCGGTTTTAGGCCGATTAGAGTTTAGAGGTTTCGGGTTCAGGTCTTGCTTACTAAAGAAGCTTCAAGTAGAAGGCCGAGAAAACCAGACACCAACCCGAAGGGACCATGAACATCAGAATCAGACGCTCTTAGTAAATTTGCGGGGCGCTCAGCTCGCGCTTTTGTAGAATTTGTGGGGCAAACTTAAATACACCCAGCAGGCAAAAGACCAACATTGAGAGCCCCTTCCCAACTTCGGTGAGAGCGGAACGGGAACCATCCGGGGACCGTCCGCGAATTTGTGGATGCCCGGATACAGGACGCAGCCCTGGACAACGCGAATAGGCAGCTGCAGGATGTTTGGGGGTACCGCCGCGGGTCATTCGGTCACTCAACATCGGCTGTGCTCACTTGGTGCGTGAAAGTGGTCGGCTTCTCAACTAAGTCACAAACTTCTCTTACTCCCTCTCTCACGCCTTCTCCTGGACCTTAAACCTTAAGCCTTCAAACCTGAAACCTAATGTTGCAGGACTTGGCGCCATCTGCCAAAGTCTCCTCATGGGCCATGCCGGCGCCCATTGTCACGGGCTCCTCCTCCTCGGCACAGTCGTCACGAAGGGGCTCGAAGGTGCGTCGCAGCCACAGCTATGCGGTCGGTTCTCCAAACTGGGGTCCCTCTCGCAGTGCCCAGAAGAGTATACAGGCCCTCACATGACCCTCATATTTACCCATCAAACTTCAGGGTTGCGAGGCAGTGAGCAGCCCCCCAACCTTCAACTGCTTCTGCTGCCACACTCTACAATTCTAAAATTTTCAAACCCTGTGCACACTCCTACCTGGACATCCTTGACCACACCGCTTTTTTTCTTTTTGTTTTGGTGATTCTCTTCAACCAGCGCGCAGAATGGAGCTATGTCCATGGATCCTCCCTCGCAGCTCACTTCTCGCTTCTCCCGGCAAGACTCCTACGAGCGAACCGGGCTGAATCGCTGGAAGGTGTTTACAGTTTGCTTCAAGTTTTCTTTAATAGTGAAACATAGAAACAGAAGCACCAGGGTTCTGTGCCTCCGCAAGAACTAGTAACTACTTCACACCTCAGCCACTCAAAGAGAACGACATGCTCCTCAAGCTTGGCCTCCTGCGTTCCTGCCCTGTCCCAACCAAAGCAAGCCGTCAAGCCGAGGGCAGCAGTCGCGGCCGAGCAGAGCAACACGTTCACCCCGCGGCACAACGCTTGCTGGCAGATTGTTGAGTGGTCCATTGGGCCTTGTGAGGGAGGCTCCTAAGCTCCTAGCTTTGAAGCACCAAGGCCGGCTCCGCCAGCAACATGCTCCGGAACTTCAAAGCCATGGGAACCCGGGACCTGCAGGCAGCCAATACATGGCTGGGACGCCTGCTGGGGCCCTTGGCGCCTTGGCCATGGCTCTTCTCCGCCATCCCCAAACTTTAGTTTTGTGGCCTACTTGTGCCGTTCTGGTAGGCTGGGGAAGCTCCAGGAGCTTGTGAACGGAAGCGTTGGGTGCAATGGCTAGTAGCGGCTAGGACACTTGACTGACAGCACTTAGCTCGGCTCCTGAATTTGAACCTTCATGCTGCAACACTAGTCGGGGTCCCAAAGCTTGAAACCTAAGTGGTACCATTAGAGGAGCTTCTCCGAGCTCAACTTAAGTCCGAAAGCCGCCGCACGCCTTGTGGGCTGTGGGTAGCGAAGAAGGTGAAGCAAGCCATGATTTGCCAGGCTGAAACTGCCAGTCGGAAAAATGGAGGCTCAGTGCACACCGCCCCCAACACCCCAAAGGCGCAACTCGGCCTAGGTGCTGACCTGGCAGTTCGAGTTCTTCTATGCATTCCTGATCGTCTGCCATGCGATCCTTTTGGGTGCACAGATTGCCACTCGTCAGGATGGGTAAACGGCTTTGAAATGCCAAGAACGTGCGTGAACTTTAGGCAAGAATGTGCTGGAAGACGGCCGCAAGACATGCCCTTCGTTCCAGTGAATGGCTTACAAGCAGAACATCAATAACCTAGGTAGACACATGCAATTTCATACGATCCCAGCCCAGCTCTGCACAAGGAGTGGGAGGCTTCAAACCTGGGCTCCAGTCCTCCCAACTCCATCTTCTTCTTGCACTTCGCCTTCACCTTCCTGTTCTTCGTGGAGATCGTGCTGCGACTCTTCTGAGTTCTTGAGTCGATTCTTGAGTATGTGCCGGTTGGGGTCTTGGGGTCTTGTTTTTGGTATTCGTTGTTCTGAACGCCACGTGCGAAGATTCGCAGAGTACGCGAGCTTTGGAGTGTCAAGCGTCACAACTCTTCAGGCGGATGGCGACAATCGGGGTCGTCAAGTTTTTCACGGCCAGCGAATACGCCTGGAACATTTTCGACCTTTTGATGGCCACCATGGCTCGTTTTCTAGCTGGTCTGCAGGGCACTGCGCTGGAGGGTTCAAAAGAAGGGGGTCGAGGCTTTAGATTTCAGATGGCTGCACGTGCCGGAGGTCTCGCTGTCTATTGTGGAGCTCCTAGTGGACCTGATTTTGCAGGACCGGCTGCATCTGCGGTGCATTCAGGGCCTGCAGCCCCCGTATGTTCGGAAGTGATTTTTCTTCATGCAGGGCTTGTCTCTAAGATGGACGGAGTCTGCCTGAGGCGAATCCAAGGATAGATGGTTGCAACATGCGCTTGACAAAGGCCTGATCCCCTATGAGCTCGGCTACCAGCGGCATAAGCACCGATAACGGGCACACATCCAAGCTTGCCCGACCTGTGCTGCAGTGTGCAGAAGCACAATTATTCAAAAATAGGGATTACATATAAAATTCAACGGTTTTCAAAGGGTGGCTGATAGGGTTCAGGGCTACAGAGCTGCAGAGGAACACTTTGCATCCGGAACATTCCGAATTCTTCGACCCTCGGCGGCCTGAAGTTTTCTCGAACCCCCAAAGCATCGGCATCGCCAAACTTTTTGCGCGAGGTGCCAGGACACGAAGAAAAGGCAGAACCCGATCACAAACCCCAAATACCCTAAACCCTAACACCCCCTTCCCCCCCTCGGTTTACAGCTTGCTATCAGCCGAGGAATCCTGCGACTGGCGCGCTCTGCTCGTGGGTTGCGGATTATTCGGCTTATCCGAGCCTGCGGATGCGCTTCAGGGGGTAGGGGCAGAATAGCAATCGAGCTTGACTGAAGCGCAATCCGGTGACTCGGTTTCTCCCGGGCAACAACTAGCTAGGACCTACAACATGGGACAACCAACATGGAACATCACGAGGCCCAAGCGCATTTTTGAGCGACGGCCCTATTCGAAATCCGAAGCGCCAAGCTGTCAAATCCCTTTGTCAGTTCCTGGCGTGATCGGGAGTCCTGCGGACCTTGTGTAGGATCAACTCGGCGAGTGGATGTGATGCGACAGGTGCATCGGTGGTGTGGCAGGCTGTGAGTGTAGCCCTTTTCTTATCTAAGTGAACACCTTGAAGAAGGGCCAGTCAAACATGCGTATCGCATCGCTCAGGATTCATCCGTCCTCTACGGATCCTGGTGTTCTCCATTGGCATCACCCTGAAGTCCTTGATCTGGCGATCCAGCTCGAACTTGTGCGCGTGGTAGGCTTTAACCGCAGGATTTGGGCTTATTTTCCGCTATCTCCAGCAAAACATCAGGAGCATCACGCACGTAATTTTGCGATGTTGAAGTACTGTGCACATGGCCTCGTTCGTTGTCACAGTGGCGGAAAGACACTAGCTATCCATTGGGCTTGTTGAACAATAGGGTTGCGGGTGGACTCTGTTTAACAAAGCTGCCAGGACGTGACAAAACTCAGCTTTGTTTGATGTCCGCACAACTTTAAACTCAGGGGCCGTTTGAGCCGAAAGCACAAAGGGTGTGGAGCAGTGTCGGTGGTTCCTGCAGCAGCGTCCGCTTTCGTGTGTCCTCAGTCGTTGCATTGGTAGCACAGCTTGCCGAGAATTTTGCCCACCGTCCCTGATCGAGCTTGTGAAGGAAACTGGTCTCGTGCTTGTTGGTTGGTTGCAATTTGTCTTGGGTGTGCGCAGGCAGCGACTACATCTTGAGGGGCCTGGTAGAATCCAACGCGGTCCAGACTGGGAAATGAGTTTTGAAGACAATCAAATTTTCGCACTGTTAAACAAACAGAGTTCGTAGAAGGTGTTTTGGTGGGGCGATTGACATGCCCAAACGCAGCTCTGTTTGGCTGTGCGCGGCCCTGTAAACTCATGGGCCTTTTGAGCCGGGCATGCGCATGGGCGCGGAAAACTGTTACAGTATAGCTTGTTTGGTGTTTGCTGTGGCTACCAGCAGCTAGGACCCAGCAGCCAAGACCATGTCACAAAATCCACCACAACTACAAACTTATTCATTCTTGGCCACAAGCCATACGATCGTTGGCATTGTGCTAGCGTGCGTGGGAATGATCCGTATTTTCGTGCCTTGTTGCATCTTGCTGCTTTACCTGTATGAGAAGTGTCGGTATCTGGAGATCCAGTTCTTTTCTGAGTACTTGGTATTAAAAGCTTGCGGACATGTTTGATTGCAACGTCTTTTGGCATTCTTCTGTTCGTCTTCCATTTAGTGCCGTCAAGCAGATTGCCGATGTCTTTTGGTTCGGAGTTGCGGCTAGATAACGGCGTTTGTGATTGGCAAGGGCGCTGACAAAATTGCAAGATTTGCAAGGGGTTCAGTTGTTGTTCAAGCTGAGGTCCGTTATCTTGCTCCTTCTCATCATCTACCTCTTCAGCATCCTCTTCTCCGATGCGTACCTAACTGCCGTGGCATCATCGTATCCCCAGGGCGATGTTGCGGCCTTGCAAACCTTCTTCGGAAGCTTGCAACTTTCGATGCTGACGTGCTTTGCCCAAAACAGAGGATCCTAGCATCAGTGCGTTTTCAACCCCATGTTCCCCAACTTCAGATTGCGAATTGCAAGACTTGAAGGCTTTTCGCAGCTATCTCGGGCGGCTTGGAATGGAGGCAACGTACCATCTGCACCGGTACCAAGCATTATCCCGCTATGCAACATGTACACAAAGTATGCATGGCAGCGCGGTAATCTTGTCAGGCACGCAATGTCGCCTTTGAGCGTGGTTGGTTGGGTGTGGGCCGCGCTCTTCATTCTGTGCCTGGGTCCTTCTTCGAGTGGGTTGTGCTTAGCTTTTGGTGCACATGAATCATGCCAAAGTCATGGGTAAGCCGCGGCTTTTGTCCGAACCGCAGAGCATTCAGTTCAACCACATGTGAACCACAATCCATTTTGCTGCATTGTCTTTATGATCGGCTTTTGCAAGCCCAGGTACATTGCATTTTGCATTTTTGCGGTTCTCAACGCACCTGGGCAGCTTCCTTTACGACACATGTTTGGGTGTACTTTTCCTCTGAGGCCTCATCGCGTCGAATCCAGCGAAGCCATGTAATTCATGTAGGTCTCTCCGTTTGTGGTCCACAAAGTGGGTAGGAGTGACTCCGTTAGCCATACTACTATAAAATCCTTATACCTGGGCGGCCCACTTCAAGAGTCGCCAAAGTGCATGGTGGCTGTAGTTCAGAACCATGAACAAAGCTTGCTGGAACAACGCCAGGTAATGACAGGGGCCGCTTGACTGATCTGATACAACCTTCTTTGCTGGAGATCTAAATTCGTCTTTTCATTCGTGACAGCTGTGGGTTTTGTCGGATCTGTCGCTCTTTGTCGCACTGCAGTGCAGTGATACGAAGCAAAGGTCTTCTGCCACTCAGCAATCGCTGGCGCTGAGCAAGACCATGAGTTTATGGTTCAGTCCATGGTGGGAGAGCAGGAACGGATCCTCTTCCTCTTTTGTTTGTACTTTTTCGTTGCGCTCGGGCGCTCGTCAGTTCTTTTGTGAAGGAAGCTTGTCGGTGACATTAAAAGACTAAGGATACGAACAGTGTTTGGAGAGCTTTTCCGCACGATGGACCATGACGGCAGTGGCATGATCACCATCAAGGAATCTTGGATAAGCCCGATGACAAAACATGAGTGACAGCTGCAAAGTGAAGTGGGTGTTGGGGGTTGGGGGGGTTCTTGTCAGGGCCCAGCTGCCAAGACGGCCACATGACCGCCGAATGCAAACAACCTCCCCCAACTCTCAGGCCTTCTGGGACTCAGGCGCCCATCTGCCGTAGCACGAATTCCCCTACACCCATCCTAAGCCTTAAGCACACCCCCCCAACCCGGCCACCCTAAGCCTCAAGCTCCATCTCGGGGGCCAGGAGTTCGAGCAGGGGTTCAAGGTGGAGTCCACGAAAGCCTGGTTCGAAGCCTTGGGCATCAAGGCTCGAGCTGAGTAGGGGCAGTTTTGGGGGAGTTTTCGGAGGCAGAAGATGGATCCATGCAGCCCGGGAGTATGTGGGGAAATCGGAACAGAATCCTTTGTGCCACTGAGACAAGACAGAAAACTTCTCCCATTATCCGACGTTCACCCTTATGCTGCAATTCATGCCTAGGGTTCAACAGGGGCCTCCACCAGGCCTTCATCTAGATCTAGATCTGGGAATCCTCTCGTCCACGCTTGAGGCCGAAGATGCCTGGACAATCTTCCGAAGCCTGGATAGGGCAGCCTGCCGTTGTTGAGTTTGACTGAGTGTAGGCTGACTGGCGAGGCGGAACGACTGCATTACATGGCAGTGGCTGCTACCTTTCGGACAGCAGCAGGTTTAGCTCCCATGAAACGGGCGAATCCCAATCGCCGATGTCTGCAGCTCTTAGCCTGTGTGATCTGAAATCGTCTTACTACATGCTATCTCCTCCACCAAGGACGGGGATCACAGAATTGGGGTAAGCGAGTTTGTGGAGGGCTGCATCAACATTCGCGGACCAGCGAGGGAGGTGGACTTGATGCGGCAGCTGCATGGCTGCACTATGCTGCACTTCTGCCAGCTATGAAGACACAGATGTCTTTCTCCTGTGCAGGCGGTGTGTAGGGAATACCCCTGAACCGAAAGTAAGTATTCATGCTGCGACCCTCGAAAGTCCCTATGACAGGGTTCTCCTGCTAGGGGTGGGGCTCTGGCGAGAGACACGAGTCTTGTGCCCACCCTGGTACGGCAGGCTGACGGGCTCTTCCCAGTCCGTGAAAATTCGGTTCTCCCATGCAGGAAGAAAAAGGATGGGGCGGGGGGGACATGCACAAAGCCGCGGGTACGAAAGAGCCAAGAAAGAAAAGGGCACGGCGCTTTGGCTAAGGTCCCAAATGACTCATCAACAGCTCCAAGCCGTCGGAGTTACTCTTTTAGACAGCCTCGTCCTCTTGAAGGACGGCTGATCTTCCAGATTCCGCTGTCCGATGGTCAAGTTCTGTCAGGTTCAATACCTCTGCGCGGCTGTAGCTATGCTCGGGTTGCAAAGTTTCTCGTCACCTTGCAGGACGTGGCTGCGCAGCTCATCGTGCCTTGCCGAAACACTATGAAACATTCCGAAACACGAGAGTAGCTCTCCAGAATGCCACCCCTGCTCCCAAAGTCTCCGAGTGCTGTTCTTGAAAGGGTATTGATTCTGACCCCTCAAGTTTTCTGGGATTGGAGCATCGAGGATACCTCGGAGACCATCAAGGCGTCTCATTCTCAAGAATCTCCCGTCGTTGATTCTCGCGGGTCTCATGACCACGCACACCTTGCAGGCGTTGAGAGCTGCACCTCTCACGCTGCAATTTAGGCAGCTCACTGCGAGCAACGGAGAATCCGGTAGATCAGCGTGCAGCTGCCATTTGATCCAAACCGCGCCATCAACAGAGAACTCTGTAGATCTGCGCGCTGCGCGACTTGCGCAGGCAGCTTCCATTGAGACATCTCCTTTTGTGGTGATGCAGTACAGGCGCAGCCGAGTTACGGAGCTTCGGCCACCAATGAAGGGCCCATTGTTCGGGGTTAGATCATCGCTCGGGCGCCGATGGAAGCCGCCAATTTTTTGTAGCTTCGAAGCCTGGTCGAGCCAGTGCCACCGATAATCTCCATCCTCACGGATGGTGTTTAGTCAAGTTTAGTGCGAAGATGTGCGAAGAAACGGCCATCTCTCTGGCCATCGCTCCGGCAAGATGTCACAATGCCTATAGTCCTGTGCTTCATTGCTATCTTATGGCGAGCCTTCTGCTCTTCATACGCCGGCAAGCCTCAGCCCTGGAGAAACGGCCAAGCCGTCTGTCCAGCCCCTGTAATAGAGTGAGTGCGTGCTCCAAAACTCAGCCGGGCTCATCCCATGTGCACCTTATGCGAGGCGACAGCTCATGTGGCTTTCGCGCTGTGACCACGCTTTCAACGAAAGCGCTGTGCTTCAGCCGCGGTGCCAACAGACACCCTTCATTTCAACTAGGTACTTGCCCGAGAAGCTACACGTTGAATTCTCCTTTCCACATGCAATGATATGTTGGTCTATCCCACACCGGACAAAATTGAAGATCAAAAGCCAGAGCCATAGAGCCATGCCGAAGCTTCCAGCCACGGAGCAGTTCCCCATGCGGAGGCAAGAGTTTGCGGCTCCCTGGCGTATGGACTTGAAGCAGGGAGTCGGGGAGGGGATGGGGGGCTGGGCAGGGGTGGGTAGGGGTGGGGGGAGCATGCCTGGGATCATGGATGTTCCTAAGATCTTCAACTAGCAACCTGAACAGGCCTGACGCGCAATCCCCTTGAAGCAACAGGTATACACGCTGTCCTTGCGTATGGGGACGCCACGTGCCCCATCCACGAAAGACGAGGACAGCACAGTTGCATGAGGACTGCAGGAAATTGCCATCACACTGCTAAGACACGCTAAGACGACCTGTCTTCACCATTCTTCGCCTCTCACACTCAGCTCGCAGACGTGCTTTCGCACAGTGAGGCCTCGGCCAGAGAGCCGCAACAGCGTGGCCCAACATTTGCACGCTTTCCGCGGGAGCCTGGCCGTTTCATGGAATTTCATGTGCGAGCCGGGTCGAGTTTGCAGAAAGTCTCTCGTTTAACGCCCCTTGTCGTCGTGCGAGCCTCACGTCGAAGGCTGCGGCGAAAACTAAATATGCCCCGACATGTCCTAAGCTCGAGCTTGCACAGTGTACTGCACCAAGTTCATTGGCGCTTCCAAACGACTCTGGTCCAGCCAAACTCAGGACATGCCGACGAAGGGCGTGCCAGGCACTGTGGCAACATCTGGAGCCACGTTGTGGTCTTTTTTAAGAGCCTCTTTCTGATCGGATGTTTGCCTGTACATCAGTACATCGGCATGCCGACTAGGTTCCTAAACTGCTGTGCTATGCCGCTACGCCATCTACATCCATCTGTGCCCTTTCTCAGGTTACCTGGGATTCAGACCGGGCGGTGCCGATGGGGCCTTTGCCGTGGGTACACCCTTCGACGACACCTGGTCCTGTCTTGGTTTTCCTGTCGCCTGTCAGGGCCCACTCCCGAACCTATAGCGTCTGAACTTTTGCAAATTGCATGGGCTTGCGGTCCTGTGACCGCTTCAGTGTCTTGTGGGTGTGGTGGTATTGGCCAGAAGAGTACGGACAGCAGAGGAAACTGCAGCCTTGTCGGCGAGAAGGCATATGCTCCATCGCACCTTGGAAAAGATTTGGTTCCGACACCCAGTCCCCTAAAAGTGCAGCCGCCCGCAGATCCATTCAGCACCCAGCACCCTGCAGCCCAGGGCCACACACGTCGGGCCCGGCTTACGGATGGACAGGGCAGCTCTCAAAGTTTCGTGGGACTTAGCCTCTCATGAACGGCCTATGAAGAGCCTAGACATGTCGCAAAAAAATATTGTCTTGAGTATAAGGTGCAAATAAGGGACTGTGCACAAGACGGGGTGCGAGCCGCACAAAGCGGGCGGCGAGAACTCTCAGCCCCGTGCTACATTGCCAATCTTGGAAGCAGCATGAAGAAGTAAAGTTGAGAAATGATTCGTGCTCCAGTCCTTGGCAAAAAGTCGGGTTGAGGCAGAGAAGCTTGCAGCATACGGCACTTGCTGACAAACAGCTGCTGCTTGCTTGCGCGGGGCCAGAATGATTTAGCGCCGATCTGTTCATGGTGCGGGCTTCATTACTTTTTTGCCCGAACCGTTGCACGCAGGACATGGCTTCAAAGCCACCGGCTGGGCACTGCCCCATGCTCGTAAAACACCATGCGACACGTGATCCAACGTGCACCTGCAGGCAGTTCACCCTTGACAATGTTTGCAAGGGGCCGTTGAGCGTGCGGTCGTTGGGGAGGCCAGCTAGTTCCATAGGAGACGCAGCAACATACTCGTACCATTCGTACCTCGTGACAGTCGTGACGGCCAGTATGTGTCGCAGGTTCCGAGAAAACTGTCTCCTGACGCCTGGCAAAGCCAGGCGCCGGAGAAGCTGCCGCAAACCTTGTCGCAAAAGGGTGCAGCCTGGGTCACACGAGTCACACGCTTTTGGTCGTGGGCTGATGTGGATCCGCATCGAGCCAAGGCCCGCGGGTCGCGTCGCGGCGCGCTGCCCCGGCTGCCGCGCCGGGCCCACAGTGACCTTAAACTAGCCGTAACTAGCCCTTAAGCAAACGCCTTAAACAAAGAATAACAAAGACACAGAAACAGGGCATTCAACTTCATTAAACAAGCCATGAAAGGCCAAAGGCCCCCTCCACGCGAGGAGAGGAGAGGGAGGAGAGGGAGTCCGGTGCTTCTCAAGTGACCAAAGTGACCAGAGGCCTCGAGTCCGGCACTGGCCGACGTGGTGCGGGAGGCGTTTTGAGGATGCCTGTCCTTCCTCTCGAAGTAGAGCAGTAGAGCCCCTGAACCGCCTGAACCCCCCAAAAAACTCGAGCCTGCCGTCTGACGTCGGGAATAACATCATATTGACATGATGTGATCTTGACCTCATTAGATTGATAAGTTGATAGCGCTGATATTTGTGCCTGATGTTTTGCTTTTATGTTGTGTTGATATGACCATGGTGTTTAGATCACATGACAATCCACGACGCTCTGATAGCACTGAGAGGCCTGGCCTCGGCAGGTGGGCCTCGAGCTGTCACTTGGCTTCGTCTCAGAGTCTCTCTCTCGCTCCCTCTCCCCCTCTCCCCCTCTCCCCCTCTCCCTCACTCCCTCCCTCTCTCTCTCTCTCTCTCCCTCCTCTCTCTCTCTCTCTCTCTCTCTCTCTCTGTCCTAGAAATGCATCTCTTTTTGCCCCTTCAGAAAAGCAGCTTGTGTGTCCGAACCTTCAGGCTAAGTTCAAGGATCAACTCCCTGGGATGAAAAACATCAAAACATAGTTGAGCTTCATTTGGGCGTGAGACAATGAGGGTCAGAGAGATGTAGTCGCGTAGCAGACAAAGGCCCCGTGATGAGATGGGGGAATCTAGTGTGGTCTCTGGTCACATGTGTGGTGGACATGAGAACTCGAGGGAGTTCTTTGCAGGGGTCACAGAGCTAGCGATGAAAGAAGCGTTTTGGTATTGAAGGTTTTTTGAGTTCGACATCCAAGTTCTCAGAGTCCTGTGGCCCAACCTTGTCCAGCCCCAAAGCACCCCCAAAGAGAATGCCCAGAAAGCACCAGAAAACGACTATGAACCCTGGATAAACCGTGCCAATTGTACATTTTCGTATGCAGGGAAGCCAAATGGCTTCCAAGCGCCCATCAAACTTCCAGAAGCAATGCCTGGAGCGTAGGGACCCTCAGCTCTTGAGGCACGCGTGGAGATGTCATCTCCATGTGCTTTGCCAAGCCTTCAGCCGACGATGCAGGACCCGCTCAGTCATTTCGCCTGTAGTGCGTCATGATGGCCATGGGATCTGGACAGCATACTCAGCGACATACCAGCGGTTGCCCAACGATCGATGAATTTGCCGGCGCGCGTAAAGCCGAAGCCCTACGTATCACCCTCAAGCTTATACACGCCTGTAGACTTTGGCAGACACACGAAGACGTGTGACAAAGACACGAGGTGTGAGCCCCGCGACTGGTGACCATTCTGATGCGAAGACGAAGAATCGCAGGCGTTTGCAGGATGATCCGGTATGGCCCACGGTATGGCGGTTATGGACGGCGATCCGACTTGGAGCGAACACGCACCCCCCCCTTCACCCCCAAGCTAGGCGAGAATCTTTCGGCTTGAGTTCGGAAATGGACAGAAAGTGAGCCAACAAAGATAAACCTTGGGTACTTGAGAAGCCTCGGCATCCTGGGCTATTTCTACAGCATGTGCCGAGATGAAGCTTGTCGCTCCGCAACGAGCACTTGCTTCATCTTGCTTCAGTCGGGGGGTCAGGGGCGCCTTTGTCCTTTTGAAGTTTTACTCACGAGCTCAAAGACCTTTCCAGCCAGGAGCATCTGCAACATCCACTGCCTCGGCCCGAGAATTGTGATAGACCCGAAGAGAAAAGGTAACTCTGAAGAGCCATGAAGAGCCATGAAGAGCTTGAGAGAGCTTTGGCAGCTTCCAGCCATGATTAGCTGCGCAAAATTGTGATCGACTCCAGAAATCCAAGGGTCTTTGTCATTAGAGGGCTGACTCCGCTGTCGAGGCTGGCTTGCATGTGGTGAGCAGTGGCCCCGACAAGGGCACCGCGCAACCATGCGCAACCCTTGCCTTTCAAGTTCACGCATTTGCCCAGAATGCTCGGATGAGGAGGGCCTTTGCTTTACTTGTCATGAATGTTTGTCAAATCTTCGATGGGTCAGCATTCCCTCCTTGTCTGTGCCCGGAGACAGGAAGGAATCTAATCAGGCCATGCGCCATAAAGCCTAGAGAACGACATGGATCGGCGCATCTGGTCGAGCTCGGGACTTAGCGGGCTTTGCACGCCCGCTCCTGTCTCGATTCTTGTCCTGGCGCTTTTGCAGCGAAGCGAAAAGTTTGGAGAGTTTGCCCTGCGAGAGCGCGCCTGCTGTGCTTTCGGAGTCCTCGTGGCAGCAGAAGCCACGAAGACACAGACAGTAGGTCAAGCGTATCACAGGCTGCTTTAGCTTGTAAATTTCAAATGCCAGGATTGCTGGAACTTCTGCAGCGCATGAGGACTCGAAAGTCGGCCTCCTGTGCAAAACGTCGCACAGGAGATTCGGCGACCCTCTCGCAGAGCCCAGGTGCTCCGCGACCTCAAATTTTCAACTAGCGAATACCGACAGAAGAGCCTCTGCCGCGAGGGGGAGTTCCAAGCCCAACCGCACAAAATGCACAAAACGCACATTGAGGACACGACTGTTTTGCTAGGTGCATCCATGAGTCGAACCTTACCAGGGAATCCTCGCTCTCGCACGAAGTTTTGCCTAAGTGCAGCAGCCCGCCTCAAGTCTCTTGGCACTCCTTCATACGGCCAAACCGGGAATTGGCATCTGTTCCGACCTGAGAAGAGTCATCCAGAATCATCATGCAGGCTGTTCGTGCGGTCTTGCGACCCTTGATCTACAGAGACTCTGAAGGACTCCTAAACAGAAGAGAGTACGGTCACGATCAGCTGCCAACCTGTTTTCACCCCCTGCACCCTCTTTAACCCACTTTTTTCGCGTGAGTATGAATCCAGAAGCATTGTGCGACGTGACAAAGCTCGAAGGGAGGTGCTCCAGGGCCGCTTTGAGAGCACATCGGGCATTCTGCATGCGGATCTCATGGTCTTGCCCGGCTGGCTCAGAGTGTGAATTCTCCATTCTCCTGGCACCACGGCACCCTCGCTGCCACTCGGATGTTTTAAGGGGGGGAAGCTCCAAAAGCTGTCCCTGAAACCACACTTTCAGAGACATTCCCGGCAAGCCTGCGGTTCTGCAGACGTGGCTAAGCCGGCCAAGCCACCTTGAGCTCTGAACAGACGAAACTAGAAGGGGCCTGGGGCTATTTTCAGTAGCCCCTCTTGAAAAGAAAGCACTTCTATTCGGGACAGACTAATGCAGAGCCGCCCTAGAACATCGGCAGCTTTTCCACCCCAAGGCCATGGTGCTCGGGGAGCTGGGCCAGCGGATCACCGCCTCCTTCAGGAGGCTGAACCAGGCGCCGATCATCGCCACTCGGCATACAAAACGGCCTCCAAAAGGGGGCTCCTCCGTCTAAGACAGCCCAGAGGACCTCCAGCTTTCCGCGCATACACGCTCGTGCGCGCAAGCCGAGGATGACGACCTCCTTGACGAGGTCTTGAAGGATGCCCGGAGAAGAAGCAGTGAGTAAGCATCCCACCTCATGCCCGAGAGGTCAAGCATGTCCACGCCGCGAGAACCTCACCATTTTGTGTGTGGGGAAGGAGATCGCCGCAGCGCTCCTGCATGCGGACGTTAACGTCCGCTATGTCTCAGAGCTGAGGAGCTTCAACACAGATGTTGCTGGTTACTGTAAAGGCCCCTGAGACAGAACCACAAGGTCATAGGCTTGCGAATTTCCATGCTGTTGCCTCGGACAATATCCTGCGCTTCTTTATGTACTGGCTGTTGCTGGGACATGCTGGGACGGCGTCAGAAGAAGTCTCGTGGTGGTTCCAGGAAGTATACTGCTGTCCTTGCAAGAGACATGCCCCGAACCATTCCCCAAGCTGAACAGAGCGTTGGCTGTTGAAGATACGATCAGCTCGAGAGCTCGCGAGGAGTAATGTGAAGAAACGCGTGCTGCTGGAGAGCGATGCCAGCGGTGTGAACAAGCGAAAGCTCATCCAGAAGGTGCGGCCCCCGGAGAGTTGTGGAGAGCTGTGGTTTTCTAGGCAGCAGTCCGGAGTTGGCTCTGAGACTCTGAGAGAGGCTGTGGTAGAAGAGCTCGTCCGTCTTGTGTCCACGGACAAGAAGCCCTACAAGCTAGAGCAGCTTGGCCTGACTTCGGCGGACTGGTGGCAGTACCTTAGTTACCTTTTTTTTGGCAACCTTGAACAGAGCACACTTGGCATCGCTCAGGAAGGGCAAAGTGAACATCATCATGTTCGTGGGCTTGCAGGGCAGTGGCAAGACCACCACCTGCACCAAGTACGCCCACTACTACAACCGGAAAGGCCGGGAAGTGCCCTCAAGTGCCTCCCTTAAGAGTCTGCTTTCAGACTTCGAGTTTGAAGCGTCGCCTTTCAAGTTCTTCCCGTGGATCTCATAAGTAAGGCAGCTTCTCTTTCTCGGAAACCATCTCATCCGTCTTCGAGACTGCTCCAACTTTCAATTCCACCGACCTACATGTCAAATCATTTTTCAGATTCTCGGTCTAGCTCTTCAGGCTGGAAGACAGCCCTGGTTTGCGCCGATACCTTCCGTGCTGGCGCTTTCGACCAGCTGAAACAGAACGCCTCCAAGGTGGGGACGCTGCAGATTCTAATCTCGCGCTCAGGGTGCAATGTGTGCATCCTGCATTCGCTCATCCTGATCAGAGCTCCAGGTCAGAATACCTTTCTATGGTGACTACAACGAGACAGACCCAGTCAGAATCGCCGAAGAAGGCCCAGCAGTGAAAGAGCATCTCACCCTGCGCCTTTGGGCCCCACTGCTGATTGAGCTGTCCCGCACGCCGGACTTTGGGGCGACAGTTTCTGGCTAACGGTACCAGTAGTGCTGTATCTGAAGCCACAACCTTGTCTGTGGCTTTTGGGCTTGTCGGATTCAAGTTCTGTCCACTGATGCTGGAGAGGCGTGGAGCTTTTCAAAAAGGAGAAGTACGATCTCATCATAGTTGACACCTCCGGCCGTCACAAGCACCCCTGCATGTTCTTTTCAATGCCTGAGCACTGTGGGCAGGTGTAGGTCCACATTCTTGAGAGGCAAGCATTGACATGGATATGCCAGGCAGGAGCAAGCCCTTTTCGATGAGATGAAGCAGGTGGCAGAGGCTCCTCGCTTTTGGTGCTGACTTGATGCTTGCGACACCTGGAGTTTCGAGCCCGGATCTGGACCGGTTCATTTGTTGAGTTATCTTTTTCTGGGCTTGCTCGGAGAAGGTTTACCCTGTGCACTGAGAATCTGTTGACTAGAGCGAGAGGTAGTCCAGCCAAACGACACCATCTTCATTATGGACTCTCACATCGGTATTGGCCCCAGCTGCTGAGAGATGGCAGAGCTCAACGACCTTCTCAATCCCTGAAACTCTCGGGGCCTCCTCTGCATCCATGAGCTTTCCGAAAGCCTCCTCCAGGCGCCCTTTAGGAGCCCAGAAGCCGCGAGGCCCCAAGCCCAGCAAACTTTCAGAAGCCCTGCAAACACCCCCAAAGGAAGATCCTTCTCTCATCTCTCAGCTGCTCTCAGCAGAGGTCAGGCGTGCTACGACCAAGCCCGGGCCTTCCGGGAGGTCGTGGACATCGGTAGTGCCCGGAGCCCTTATTGACTTCTTCAAAGAACTGACGTCGGGAGAAGCTTCACCTAGGGAGGGGCTTAGGGAGGTCAAGGGTTGTGAGGGGTCCCTCACAGGGGGGTGTTTAAGTGGGTCTGTAGGATTTTTAAACAACTTCTTGGGCGGTATGAAAGGGTGGAGACGGGGATTCTCTTGGGTCCGCGGCTTCGCCAGGGGAACCTTGGCTTGTCTGGCCTTCCGGGCTTGGTGCACGCGTTAATAGAGCTCTGATTGGGCCCTTGAAGTTGACAGCTGCGGGAGATTTCCCACTTTGATCCCGAAGCTTTTTGCATGGCCCAGGTCATCATCACAAAGCTCGATGGCCACGCAAAGGGCGGTGGCGCACTGTCCGCTGTCTCTGCCACGCCAGGGCCTCGTGGATTCGAGTGTTTGAGGCTTGGGGTCCGGGTTTCTCAGGTGTCAAGAAGTGCCCCATCGATCGTGTCATTTTTGCCTGCAAGACCCAACCCTCCACACCTGGAGACGGCACGCTTTCGTGGCCTGCGCTCACGACCAGAAGGGTACGTCTATGCAGTTGAAGGAGCTGCTGACTGGCCTTAGGCTCATTTGGGGTGTCAGGGGCATCACAACGTGGCCGAGGAATTCTCCCATCATCTTCCTGGGAACCGGGGAGCACTTCGATGAGCCGCTTCCTCATTGTGGGGTTTTGGCTATCCGCACCGAGTCACCTTCTGAATGTGTCAACTGATGACTGCCCTTGAGAGCTATCCACTCCTCAAGGGGTGTGACAGCAGAGCATGTCAACTAGCATGTCAGTGAAGTGGATAAGTGGGCTGACATCCGACCTCGTAGGGGTGGTTTGAGCCGCTCCAGAGAGGGTGTGAGTGCGGCCGAGGAGTGATGACTGAAGGAGTGTAGGGACGCATGAGTAGACACGCTCTGGAGCGGACGTTCTTTAGCCCGGTCCGTGAGATTGGACTTGAGGCGTGCAAAGGGCCCCCGTTCCATGTGGGATCAGAATCACTCGCGGTGGCAAGGTTCCAGCCCTTTGATGCTCAGAGCTTCGTCTCGCGGCTTCTCGGCACCAGCCTCGGATGACTCTGTTGGCAACATGGCTCTGGGTTCACTCAGCGTACCAGCCAGTCCCATGTACTTTCATCGATTCCCATCGCGAATTTGTTGGCAGCAAGTTTTTCCAGGATTGTTTTGTTGTGCTGCGTGCTTCGGAGCGCGCAGAAGGCCAAGCCTTGAGGCTCCGGTTTCGGGTCTTAAGATGTCTTAAGCACTTCAACACCTTCGGTGCGTCTTGACTCCCTTCGAATACGTGGAAGAGATCGAGGATGCCCTCACAAGGAACCCAGACGCGGAGAATTTTCAGTGAAGGGCTTCGCGGCCTTCCGACCTGAGGAATGGGAGACCTGAAGGGCCTTTTCCAGACCATCACCGAGGTGTGCTCAATGTGCTCAATGTCGGTGTCAGGCAGCCGTGGCCTTTCTCTTGGGATCTCCAGGCCATGCCCTTGGACAAGCAGCCGGAGCTGCTGAACAAGATCTCGAAGGGAAGGCTGGGCATCAGATCCGGAAGGGGGCTCTCAGAGTCCGTAGAGAACCGCGTTCCAGTGCTTCTTGAGAGCAGCATGTGGCAGGTTCTCGCTGCGGGATCTCTATGAGCAGTGCAGCCGCCCTCGGTTGAAGCTGATTGCAGCGTGATCGGACGCAACCCACGATCCAGCCCTGTGAAAGTGCCAGGTTCCAGAACTTGCAGAAGTGCGGTTCTCAGACTTGTGCGGTGTAGGATGGAATGTCCAGGGTGCTGGGAAGTCATGCTGTGCCCGTTTGTCCATCCACTTTTGGATCTTGGTGCGGGAGAGTGGTGTCATGTGAGGGGCCACAGCGCAGGATGGGCCCCATGAGTCAGATCATGCAGATGATTCCTGGCATGTCCAACCTGATGCCCGCAGGCCCGGGCTTCACGGTGTCCTGAGACTCTCAGACTCTCCGGATTCTCAGACCCTCAGACTCCTCAGACCCTCTGATGAATCTCTTGTTCTTCACAAAACCCCTTTGTTGGTGCATTGGTGCTGAATTTGTCGACGAGTGCTTACCACAGCCCACATGAGCATGCATCATTGTACTCATGAGCCAGGTGCAGAAAAGGAGGGTGTCAAGCGCATCAAGCGTTTTATGGCAGGAGCCTTTAGACAAACTTCAATACAAAGACCAACATGTAAAGCAGTGCCGCCTCTGTGCTGTCAGCATGAGCAAAGTGAGCAAAGGTCATTATGGACAGCATGTGCGGGCCCCCAGAGCGTTATTGCCCACGGCCCCCTTCCAAGGGTGGTCCCGAAGATGTCGCGTAGCCGGGTGAGCGGGTGTTATGAGGGTCAGTGAGGCTCCACCTTACTCTCTTAGTGACACTTGTGACACGTGTGGCACTTGTGCCGACGTGGCCACCTGGCTAAGGACTGATGCCGAGCTCGATTGCGAGGTTCAGCTGAGCCTCGACCGAACATGAGCTCTGCACCGTAAGTACAAGTAAGGCGACTTCTAAGGCGACCTTTCAGGACACACATGTATTCAAGATGCGTTGTAAGCAGGCATCGGTCGCTCTTGTTGTCTCTCATCCAGCCTCGGGCTGCCAGCGCAACCTCCACGTGGGTAGCGCTCATTCCATTGTGCTTCTCCTTTGCTTGTTTGTTACATTTTGTTACTTGCAGTTCGAGAACTCGAAGGGCGGTGTTGTTTGATGGTGCAGCTCTTGGTCGTGGTAGAGCTGAGCTAAGCCAGGTCTAGCCCCTTCCAGACCTCGGTTGGACTTGCGACTTGTGATCGGTTTTCACTGTGGCCCAAATTTGCCCGTTTTGAGGATTCGTCCCTCATTGCTTAACCAGGAACGACACACGGAAGCTGCGAATCGCAAGGGGCGCGGGGTCCTCGATTATCGAGGCGAGCACGATGCTGCAAGAACTCGCTGGCTGCGTAGCGAGCCCCGTGTTGAGAGAGCTTTGTGCGCGTCTGAGCAGGTCAATCTTCTGGTGGAGGAATACAAGTGGCTGGGATCCACCATTTTCCTGAGCTTTTCTGCTTCTTTCCGGTGTAAAGGTAGGCTGTTGAGGCGCTGAGCGGGGGCTTCGTCAAGAATCCGCCCCAAAATTCGTTTTGTCAGGAATCCACCCCAAATTTCAAGCGCGTGCCGCTTTTAAGTGTTCCGACCTGCAGAGCCCCCCGAGGCGCATGGAGAAGATGGTGGGGAAGATGGGCAAGAGCGGCCTCTTTGGCAAGGGTGGCCAAGCTGCAGGCTGTGCGAGCCAAAGAACCCAGATAACTAAATTCTCGTGGATAAGCTCTCGTGGCTAGAATTGCGCACAGAAGCCTAGGTAAGAGTAACTGTGGGTCAGACCCCTGCAGTATGCCTATTGCTATGTACGCGTTTAAGTTAGCACAGAATCACCATGGGGCCTGAACAAATGAATGGAGGCTCGTAGGTGGCGTTGTAGATGTGGTTTTGGGTATGGGGGCGGGCTGGTGCATGATCCTCCGACGGCTAAGGTGGCGATCTCACGCAGCTGCAGCGGAATCCCGGTCAGGCTGGAGAGCATCATCATGCCAAGCCTGTCACAAGAAGCTGCTGCCCTCAACACTCCAATGGCAACTCCGGTGGCAGCTTTGGACAGGTGATGCAGAAAATGTCCGGGTCTCAGGAACCGGTGAAGGACACGCCTTCCACAGCTTCCATCTAGGCTACTGAACAAGGTCCTCTACAGATACATACACTGGTATCTATGTATTTATGTGTATATGTTTTTCGTATATATGTTATGTGACGCATATCATTCACAGATGTTGTAGACCGTGCATGTGTTGACTGAGAGGGGGTTAGGCCCTGCGCCTCAGGCAGAGTGCCATGGACCCGAGGATGCTGCAGCAAATGGGTGGCGCGCAGAACATGCGCTGCCGGCCTTTCTTACGGTTTAGACTTCTGGGAGTCTCCGAGGGGGAGACTCCCTGTGCGTTGAGGGCGGGTGTGTGCAGACTGACATGGGGCACGAAGAGCACAGAAACGGACGGCAAGCGTCAACCTCACTACTTCGGAAGCAGAGCCACAGCGTTCTTTTACGTGCCAGGATGAAGATGATGAAGGCTCTGGCATGTCTCCTCATTAAGCCCCGCTCGCATGCAGTTGCCCGACAGAGGTTTCGGTGTCTCGGGGTTTGCTGCTTTCAGACGTCTGACCGCATGTAAACGCTTCATCGGATTGGAGCTTTCGTACTCTCAGGAAAGAAGCAAGGCGGCCTTTTTTCGTTCGAAGCTTGCTGGAAGTGATGGTGGAATCTGTGTACAGGAGTTTGGGAAGATGGAGAACATGGGTGGCATGATGGAGGGTCTTGGAGGCATCGACCCATCCCAGGCCAGACCGGCTTTTACCTTGTTTGCTGTGCAGGTTACTTGTTTATATTTAACGCTACGCGACCCACTTCGGCCAGGCCCGACGTTTGGGGGGGGGAGGTCGGCGGTGAGGGTGGTGGGGCCTGCACCGCCTGCTTCCCACACACCTGTCGCCTACAAAAAGTACACATGAAAAGGCCAGACAGAGGGCTGCCAGACAAAGGGTTCAAGCTGGTTGGGGAGGGGATTAGAGGTGCCTGGTTTACACTACCCGAGAACCTACGGCCCGGTGCTCTCTGTCTTTCGGGATGTGTATTGTGTAAAATCACGGGTAGGGAGGGTGGTTGGGGCAAAAATGGAAGGGGAGGGGGCGGGCGCTGGACTGTGGATGTCAACTCTGCCCTACACCCACAACACCACGCCACAAACGCCACCGTCCATACCCATTCCAGGGCAAGAAAGGCCAGATGTGGGGGGATCACAGAGTTGCCGCTGCCTTCTAGCCTTCTTGAAGATTGGCCCAACCCTGTGGTCTTGTGAACTTCCGTGCTGAATACGTTAGTCTCCGAAGGCGGGTGTGGTATGCAAAGGCTTTGCCCTTTGCCATGTGGTGCTCCGGCTCCGCATCAGTGATAGACTCCTTGACGGGTCCTGACTGAGAGTTGTCAATGGATTCAATGGTTTCCATATGTTTCAACAAGCCAAATGTCGATTTCGCATTTTGAGAAAGCCTTTGGTCAGGTTGCGAACATGCAGAAGATGATGGGCAAGATGAAGGGGCGGCGATAAAGAACTGCAGCCCTGTATCTTTGCAGGTTTTAAGTAGTTATTGCAGTTTGGGTCTGCAGAGGTGGCAGAGGTTCACACAGAAGGTTTTTCGCGACATACATGCTGTAAGCGTGATAAGTGTGTCTCAACCTGCCACAGGCGCTACAGGCACGATAGAGTCCAATAGAGTTTAGCGCCGTGGCCAGAAGGGTCTCAGTTGAGCAAAGACTGCCCTCTCCGTCTCACCAAGCCTCAGTCACTCCATACGTCGCGGAACAGGACCATTAAGCGCCTCGGTGCAGAAAGAGTTGCACCACGCAGCACCAACCTGCCTGACCAGCGAACGTCAGCTCGTGTGAATTGGGATAGCACCGGCAACTTAGGGATACCATCAACGTCAATCGGGAGAGGTTGTGGACGCGTCTTCGACAGTGTTCGACGGCTTTCTCTGTTTTCGCCCCTGTCCGATTTGCGTGATTTGCTTTTTGGCCGTTTGGCTCCAGATGCCCTGAGATCTTTCTAACGTTGTGACGTTGTGCCGGCAAGGCGCGCTTTTGAAGAGACACCTTTGGCAGGGAAGTGATGACCAGGGCCGGATATGGAGCCGTCATGGCCCGAGCCTCAAAGCTAGTCTCGGCCTACACACCGGCAGTAAGAAGTTTAACTCTCGGGAGAGTCTGAGTGTGAAGGATGTGGCAGGGGGAGTCCGCTGGAGTCCTCTCTGCTTTCGATCAGCCCTTGCGTGGATTTGAACCAAAGCCGGAGAGCACAGAATAGGCACGACCAGTATATACCAGGGTGCAAATACCGCTTGGTGCCAAGGCATGCGATATGCCTGAGCCCATCCCAGTTGGAGCAGGCAGTGACACTGCGAAATTCGGGAGTCGTCATGTAGTTGAGACGATGCAGCGGGAGCCAGGAGCTGCTGCTGCAACTGACAATTTCTTGACTCATTGACTTAGCTTTCAGACTGATGGTGCCGCTGCCACGCATCAGCTGGGTTAGCCAGCATGGGGTGAGTTTGAGATGAGGCAAAAGCAATTCGCCAGATCTGCGGCCAGCTGGATGCCCAGTCTGAGGGTATCCCTCTTTGGCCATGTGCTCTTGTTGGTACTGTGTCACGTTTGACCTGTTCTTTCGTGCGTTTCCATTCTCAGTACGGGAGGCCATGGAACCGGTGAGTAGCTCGGAAACATACCGACAACGTGAGAATGGCCCTCTCCACTGCTATTTATTGATCGTGTAGAGCCCGTGCAGAGAGGCCCTATAGCTGACTCACATGTCTCCTGGTCCTATAGCAACATCCGGAAGGGCAAGTCTTCATACCACGCGACACGACCCGACAAGACATGGATCTGTCTCCCGAACACCATGACCTGACGCTTCCTACTCATCCCTGAGGCACGCACACGGATGTCTTCCTTCGGGGACGACAAGGCCTGGGTTCTGTACATTTCTGTACACTTCTGTTGGGTAGAGGGCTCTTCGTGTCGGGTTTCAGGAAGAGAGAAGCCACAGAGCCTCCCATGTGACAGCAATGGTTTACACTCGGCTTGCGCTGATGCCAGGACTTGGCAGACGAGCTCCCGCCAAACTGGGATCTCAGAAGGCCCCCTACATCGCGCCGTGTGACTTGACTCGTCATCTCCACGGACATGGAGGATCCCTAGGAGAATATCCATACAAGTACGGCCAGAGAAATCCAGTGCTGGTCGCTGGCTGGTCACATTGAGGTGAGGGAGCGCAAGATAGCGCAAGGAATGTTCCGGGCACCTGCTTGTCTGTTGATCGGCTCTTTTGGGTTCTTGGGTGGCAGGTTCCAGGACAAGGCGAAGAGCGTCTTGAACGAGTGCCCTTTGCTGGGAAAGGCTGAAAGAACAGCCTGATGCTGTGGCCATACAAGCCTGAATCCTCAGATGACCTGAACTTGCTGACTATACACAACTGTGCTCTTCGTGGCCGTATAGCTGGTAGTTTGTCCCTGGACTGTTCGGCGTGTGCAACTGTTATTTTGTATGGTGTCTTATGTGTTGGGCCGAGGGTGTCGACTTCGAAATGCGAATGACTACCCCCAGACTGTCGCTTGCACAAGTCAGTTGTGTTGTGCACCTCTAATGTCCTAAGTGACTGGAACAGGTCAAGAGCAGGCACAGGCTTCAGCTCCTTGCACCCCTCCATCTCAGCTCGGACGGACTCCTGACTCGCATTCTAGTCATTAATCTTTGACAGCAGCCTCCAAGCCTCAACATATGTGACTGTCAGGTACTTCGCTGCGTTAGCTGTTGAAGACACCGTGGCTTCTGCCCCTGACTTGGAAGTTGCAAGAAAAGTGTATGAAGCTCGCCTCTCCGCACGCAGGCTCATTGCTCTGAGTGCAGCTCGAAGACAGCTCTGCTCAAAAGAGCCAACAAATATCAAGTGCTCACCTTCTCCGAGATTTTTGAGAGCCCTCAAAAAGCCCCTCGAACTTCTCAGACAGTGTGCAGCTGGATGAGGCTGCGGAGCTGCTAGCAGCCTGCCCCTCCGAGGCACATGCCATCACACACTACACTAGGGTTCGAGGGGTTAGGGTTTAGGGCACAAATGTTGGGATGCTGGCGTTCCCATGAAGTGCTGCACCCAGTTGATCGTTGCCAGCGACTTCTTCAAGGGATCACCATGAAAATTGTCTGTTAAACGATCAGTCGCTCTCATCTCTTCTCATTCCTTGCTTCTTTCCTCGGTTCTCTTCTGCCTTCATCTTCCCTGCTCTCTCCTTCTCCTTCTCCCTCTCCCGCTCTCGCTCTCGCTCTCTCTCTCTCTCTCTCTCTCTCTCTCTCTCTCTCTCTCTCTCTCTTTCTCACGGGGGGAAGGAAGGAGCGCCCAGGAGCCGATTTCTTGACTTTCCATCCCTCTTGGGGACAAGAAGGATTTGAGCTCAGCCCGTCCCATTGCCATCTGATCATGTCCAGGCGGATGAGCTCGGGGTAGTGGCGATGACGCTTGTCCCACGTCAGTTGCGCTGGCAGACCAGTTGAACGGATTCAGCAGCCCCTTACTTGAGAACAAAGTTATCACCTGCCACGAGTGCCCTCCTCACAAGAGTTTCCAGTTCCCAGCATCCCGATTGTCGCCATTTTGCATCGCACTGCAGATGGCCAAGGAAAGCTGCGCTCGACCGGGGAAAGGCGCGATCCTTTGAAGTCCAGCCATGACAAGGGCCTGAATGAGGTGCTCAGCGTAAGACAGACGACTCGTCAGCAGCCTCATTGTCATACACGGTATATGTATGTATATATATATATATAGATGCATGTACACGCACATTATGTTGTGTACATATATATATATGTATACACATACACATATAAATGAATCAATAAATATATACAAACATGGATAGATAGATATATATATATATATATATATATACATATATAGATATTCGTTCATTCCCCACCCTCGGTGTGGGGTTGTTAGATTTAGGCTCAACTCTTCTCCTCGCGCGGAACTCTTCTCCTATGCCTGGAGTGCCCAACCCCAGAGTGTCCCTGGAGTGCCCAATTCTAGAGTGTCCTGGAGTGCCCAACCGCAGAGTGTCCTTGGAATGCCCAACCCCAGAGATCCCCAGAGTATCTCTACCCAGAGAGGGTGGGGATGTTCGAAGTAAAGTGATTTATTTATGCACATACAGTGATGGGTTGTGCGTCGGCTGTGCCTCATGGAGGCTTGAGAACAGAAGCTTGTGAAGCCACAGAATCCTCTCGAACCCCTGCACGGATCTGCCACAAAGTGTGTCCAGACCACAACCCTAGTCCTCAGTCGAGGACGCGCCGTCCGATATTGTGCGGCTCTTGGAGGGACTGAGCAGGCCGAGACCTCAGGACAAGGAGTTCTTTCAAGTCGGGGCATCAGGCATACCCATATTGAAGGTTTATGTCTCCACTCTTGCTTCGCATAGCTACAATATGGTGTAGAACACGTGTTTGTCACAACATGTGCCTTCACTGTTCACCTCATGCCCATGTGGGATGTCTTGATGGATGTACTCTCCGGATCGTAAGATCGAACGAAGATCGCAAGTGAAACCCCAGGAATAGTCTCGTAGAGAGAAGTTCGCTGCGAGCGCTGTCCTTTCCAAAGCAACTCGACCAACATACCTGTAGGCGTACAAATGCCAATGTATACATACATGTTTTACAGATATACATGTGCAGCATACGTATGTATGCTAACGGCGAGCTCAAGCCCAAACCCAGGTCCACGAGCTTTGACCGCGCCGCACTGGTCCGCAGCTTCGAGAAAATTTTCTGCAGAGTGGAGGAGGGCTGAGCTGGGGAGTTCGGAGTTCGGAGTGTTGGGGTTTGAAGTCGGGGGTTTCGGTCTTTTTGTGGAACGCTTTCTCAGGGTTTGTAGATTTTGCAGGGCTTTCGGGGTTCCCGAATCTGCGCCCAGGGCTTTCAGGCGAATCTGCGCCAGGAGGTGACCTCACCATAGGGCACGTGTTCCAGGGGATCCAAACACTGTGCAGACAAGCGCAGCTTTGCAGCTGCCAGGACCTCAAGATTGACGCGCCCATGGCCGAGAAAGGAATCCTGGAGATCTTGCAGGGCTGCATCGCGGCCCGGCCCCCAGCTGGCGATTCCTTTTGACGTGTATATATATATATACACATACATATAAGAGTTTTCGTTTTATAATGCAATATATTACAAAGATATAATGCACAGTATAGAACATACAATGTCAACGCATCATCTCGGTGGATCTCGGAGAGTCAACCTTCTGCCATGTGCAAAACTAAGACCGGCTGCGTAGACAAGAAGCTTCTCACGAAACTCCCGGCCTCGACCTGAGTCCCTGCGGTGCTTGGGGGAATGTGTAGATCCATGGATCATCCCAGCCTAGAGCAGTGGCCAAGACAATGACAACTGTGGGAGTCTGCTGTGGGACTGCCGGGATGCTTCATGGACCTATGACTCACCAAACCAACCAGGAGACGCTTCTCCGTGGTGGCTTGGCTGGAGACAAGGCAGACTCGGGCACATGGAAGCTTGGAAGGGTATGTCTGGCTGTCTTCTGGGTGATATGTGAACACCACGCCGTAGCTTAGCTGCAGCATCGCCTTGTTGTTTCTGCGCTTGCACAATTGACTGGGGGAGGGTAAAGTGGCCTATGGACTCCGACCACTAGCCACAGCTTCTTTTTCTGGCCTTGGTCTCTTTTCTTGGAAGTCTGCTCGCCCGCAACACATTTTCCGAGTGTTCGAAGCCGACTCCCGCGTGTTCTGGAACGAAGTACGTTCCGAGCTCCTGTGCCCTGGCAGCACATTACAGCATTTTCCTGCGGAAGCCAGACCTCTGAACCCCAGCTTGGCCTGTGTACTTGCCCGACTTCAGGGCGTGCTTGAGGAACTGCCCAGTACCATGTAGCAGTTGATGTATCGGGTTTGAGTGGCAGATTCACCACAAGTGCAGTCAGCCTTCTTGAATATTCCATTCTTAGCTTCTCAAGGATGATGCCCCTCGCCGCTGGAGCTGTGCAGCCAGGCCGGGCTTGCACAGGCTGCATACTCCCCATCTGTTGCGTTCTGACATGTTCACATATGTTCACCACGCCACAATTGTCGACAATCTACAGCAGTCCAGACATGTTTCCCCTCGCAGTCCATGACAAGTGCAGTCGGCCAGGTGCCTTGAAGCAGAGTATGTCTGAAGGAGCAGGGGCCGCACCCACGAGACCCACGAAGCTATTCATTGGAGGCTGGATCTGGAAATCAGGTCATACAATGCCGTCGCTTGAAGCACACGGCTGAGTGATCAAACTCGCGCCAGGCATCACCCGCAACACAACGCCCCAAGCTCAGCATCTCAATCACAGCTGTGTGCCTGACTAGCCGCAAAAAATGCGAGGTTACAGGCGAGGGAGGTGAGAGAGATGAAGGATGGCAAAATGATGCAAAAATGCATTAGAGCGTTACTTAGCATCTGCCTCCTCCAATTTAAGGGGCGGCCGTTGATGGACTTGGTTCGTGTTTTGAATTGATCTTCCTGGCCATGATTACTCCCGTGCAAACGCCCTGTAAGGACGAAGCAGCTCCGTGATCACTTTTCTGCCTATGGCCGTGTACTGGACTGTGCTGCTGAGCTGAAGATTGGACCTAAAGACAGTGATACATGCTGCCTTGTGCTGCTGGCAACCCCCCCAACTTCTCAGTCCCACCCGACGGGGACGAAAGCTAAATCGGTGACGTGGATTCACATTCGCCTACGCGAAGTCCCAGTGCAGCCTAGGTTGCAATGCGTCAGCCAGATGGACGACCACGTGGGGCCCTCGGATGACGAAGGAGACATGCCGGTGTGCTCAGGAAGGGGCACAGTTGCAGACGTCGTCGTGGCCGGTGCTTCAATGCCTCATAGGGGCTCATTGATGGACTCGAATCCCACCATGTTGGAGGTGGCTTCGGCTACGTGACCCTGGATTCTCCACAGGCTTGGTATAGAACCAAATGAAGACGTGTGGTGAGACATGATTTTCAAAAGTGGTACCCTCTGGCTGAACAAGAATCCTGGTACTAAGAAAGACGAGAAGCTGGTCACGAATCCTGGTACTCTCAAAGACGAAGTCACGTCCCTTCAGGCTGCCGAGCTCTGCCTCGCAGCACCACAGGTCATTGACGGCCGCGTGGGGGCCTTGGGCACAAGGTGCACTTTGTGCTTCCCCCCCCCCAGTATACACTCCCATCAGTTTGGTGGAGCAAGGTCGTGGATATGAAGCGTGCAGTTCCGGAGGGTGACATGGATACTGCCCCAACTACCAGGCAAGTTGCCGGGGCATTGAAGTGCTTGGTTAGGCTTAGCTGCAGCGGCTCGACTTCCTCGATTCCAAACGGTGTGGCTCCAGGCTTCACACGCCAGGGGCCATTCGCGTGCAGCCACCTGGGCTGGTTGCCACAGGCGCTCAAGAGCTTGTTTTAGAGGTCCCCCATCTGGACTCCATTTCTCAGAAAGTGATGCTCTTCGCGACACTAGCTCCTAAGCCTAAGCTCCAAGAGAGGTCTCCCAACCTCAGAAGAGTTCCGCAAAACTCCCGCAGGCCCTGCTGCACGTGGTGCCCCAGGTCTCAGTCCAGGCGCTGCTGGCAGTTGACATGCGCCGGCATCCTTTGTTGCTTGCATGCTGTTCAAGGCTTTCGAGGTCCGGGTAAAGACGTTTTCGGATGTTGGATGCTCGCCTGGTGCCAATCTGAGCTCAGCCAGGAGCCGCGCAGAAGCCGATGGTGCCAACACCAACGTCGGCCAGGGACCTTTGGACTTGGCAGTTGGGACATGTTGGGAGCCGCTCTGGCGTCCCTGGTGATGCCAACCGGTAACTCCGCTGTCCCCTGAGGCTCTGAGCACCATGATGGACTTGCGCAGTCCCATGGCCGAGGCACAGAAGTGGCACTCTGCTAGTCTCTCGGGTCTCCATTTCTCTACGCCAAGCCAAGAATGGCACAGAATCTCTTCCACAGCAAATCTGAAGGCTGCGAGTGTCATGCCCTCAACAGGCGCCAACACCTTTGTCCTGGGCGCAGTCAGCCACAGTACCGGCATCCTGTCCGCAGCAAGCGTTGCAGTCTTGGAGTGAGTGGAGAGCCCATTTTGCGGCTGGGAGCATGGGGGAGCCCCCCCCCCCCATTCTTCCATTCAACTCTCAGACCTCTTCGGCGGACATTCACCAGATGGAGAGAGACGCACCCAAACTGCGAAGACCTGCTAAGGACTGCCTGGCACTGTTATCCACGCGCCCTGAGGACCTCTACCTACCCGACACGCCGAGGCAACTCCAGAGCTGCATTGAGACACGGGTGCAGAGATGGCGGCATGAGTCGAATGTTGACTATATCCCGCTGAACGCAGGCTGTTTGGGATTTAAGCATCCAGTGACAAACCCCGATGAGATGTGATCTCTCCCGTGAGCTCCACTTCCCTCAAAGTACAGCCTTGCAAAAGTCGTATTTGACTGTCTGTTTGGCTGCAGCTTGCAGAGAGACAGACAGATGGACAGAGAGAGAGAGAGGGAGAGGGAGAGGGAGAGGGGGAGGGAGAGGGAGAGGGAGAGGGAGAGCCCCGGGGGTTTACTGCCCCCATGCTCCCAGAAAGAAGAAAAGAAAGAGCGAGCGAGCGAGCGAGACACCGGGGTCCCAGCCAGCGACGCCCAAATTTGAGTCCAAAAATCACCCGACGGACTGGAACAGCGGGCCGGCGGGCCGGCGGGCCGGCGTCTCCCTTCGGGGGACCTCTTCGCTGGGTAGAAGAAGGAGAAGATCGAGCGAGAGACTTTCTTCCTCTCTTAAGAACGCTTTTTGCATGGCAGGGCTGCGAACAGCTTTCTTTCTGTCGCCTGGCGCAACGATAAAGTCTTCAAAGTCGGGTTGCAAGAGCGTGACTTGTGGACTGGGGTGCATGGCTCATCCACAATAGACTCTGAGTCAAATGCAGACGAGGTTCTACTGAGTCCTACTGCCTTAGCCACGCATGCAAAGTTCCACAAGTCAGAGGATTGCTGCCCCCCCGAGGCTAGTGCTCCGGAGTTTGTGCCCGGACCCTTCATTGGCGAAGCGACCAAAGTCGGAAACCAGGCCCTTGCGACTTCAATGGGCGAGAGTTTTGGGGCTCAGGGCTTAGGGCTTAGGCATCATGGAATACTATGGAGATGATGTCTTGCTCGGTGCTTGTCAAGTTTGCAGCAGGGGCTATGAGGCCTTGAGAAATACGTCCTGGCACTGGGTTCCGATGCTCATATTCCTGTTGCTCTGTTACTCGAGCTGCCTATGTGGATGTCTGTCCTGTTGCGGCTTCCATGGCATTCTTTCGAATATACGCCTGAGGACGAACACTTCATTACCTCGTTGCTGCACCATCATCCAGATGTCGCTACGTCGCGCAGTTGCGAAGCACAACGACATCAAAACCTGTGGCCAAGAATCAACGAATCCATGGACAAAACTAGCCCTGCACAAGAGAGTACTCATAGAGCTTGTCGACACTTGGAACCCTGAAATGCTGATTGCTGAGGACTCAGGATCGAGGTTTCGGGGTGGATGCCCCACACCCTACTAAAGGCCCTAATCTGCAGGCGGAGGCCCCTCCAGCGCGGCAGCGGTCTGCGCTGGGAGAGATCACCAACACCTTGGCCGCTGGGCCGCAGGAAGTCTTCAGATAGTGGAGGTTCCGTTTCTGAATCATGTCTGGTCGGCTTCCTTCCGTCAAACACAAGGGCCTCCTAACAAGAGGGACCCGAATTTGGAACGACCTTCACTTGGGTTTCGGAATATCATGCGAACTCATTGGTCCATGTGGGTTCGAATTCTTGGGACCCTGAGGTTCTCCGGAACGAGACGAAGATGGTGCCCATGCCCATCAAGATTGCAACCCGGCCAAGCATTTGCGGTTGGAGCAAAATGCCGGGCACGTGTGGTGATCTGTCGTGAGCACTCATTGATAAGCTTTCTGCCGACACTGAGCTGCGCTGCCTGCTGACCAAACTCGCGTTCAAATGCCCTCAATTTGCTCCCTTCATTGCCCCCTCGCTCCCCCGCCCCCGCCCGAACTCTTGTTTCAACCACGGCATCGCGGCAGGCGGTAATTGTCACCGGTATGACACGCGGAACGCAGAATCGGCGTACAGATGTCGTCGGTCGTGCAGACTGAATGAAGCAGAATGAAGGGAACACAAACCGGACTGTCGAAGGCGGATTCAACTGCATGTGGTGTGCAGCCATCCTTTTTTTTCGCTGAGGCTAGTTACTCTTGCATGGTGACCTGCTTCGTATACTGCTTTGCATACATGGTTGAATCATTTCCGCGCAAGGACAGCGACGTCGTGCCGACACTGAAGCCTAGTGATGACCAGATCTATGAGGACTGCCTGCAGAACTTGGATGTAGGCCTCATGTCTCCAACGCGTTTAAGTACGGGGCACCAGTGGCGGCGCCCGTGATCCTTCAGGCGCAGCGCGCTGTTCACTTCCTTTCTGGAGCTCCTCGCTGCCAGGACTCCTCAACTGCCCCCGAGTCGCCGCAGACCGCGGATGCCGAGGTGGACCACTTGCCGCTGCTCGTTGCTGGGACAGCGATAGTGTGGCTGCTTCGAGAGGGGATGGGAATGAGCATGCTTGGAGGGGCCTAGTGGGCACTCTCTATCGGGTTTAGAGGTTAGGGATCGTGCCGGGCTGTTCCCGGCAAGTTGACTTGACTTCAACTTCCCGGTTCTCTTGGATCCCTCTCGCTCTCTCGTTCGGGCCCAAAATGGGCGAAGTCCCTTGCTGTTCAGGACACGCCCTTGTCACTGCCGTCTCGGGGCTCCGTGGACCATGCCTTGGGCACCTGCCGCTCATCTAGCAGATTCGATTGTTACCCCAGGGCCCACAGGATTTTGGGTTCAGGGCCGTTGCGGGCCAGTAAAGTTTAGGGAGAGTGCTGCCAACCGCACATACTTCGTGAGGTCTCCATTGGTGATTTTGACGGGCTGATCTGCTGCACCTCTCGAGCATCCAATCCAAAACATGACCTTTTCTATCGTTGCCCAAGCCCGATTATTTGCACACCTAAGGCAAGCGCTGCAACTTCTACCCGAAAGGTCGCTGCCAGAATGGCCGAAACTGCCCCCAGTCTCATGTTTGCCCAGACACGCTGGCGAGCGACGATGATACAGGCAAGCGCTCGGATGGTTTAGCCGTTTAGCCATTCTGTCTTATAAAGCCCAGGCAGCTTCTGCCACCTGCCCCATGAACGTCGGCAGTCTCGTGCGGAGAAGTGCGAGCGCCAGGCACGAGCAAATGCTTGCCCAGCAAAAAGGTGGCTTCGAGACGTTACTGTAGCTTTGCCAAGCCGGAAAGCTGCAAGAAACGCAGG